AAGGAGGGCCCCAGCTTGCTTGGTAGGCATTAATGTGTCCCAGGGGTGGTCTTATCAATGCCCCTGCCTCAATGACTAAAAGAAGAGAAGACTGGCATCTGCCCATCCTCTGCAGGAGGCTTTCCCGTGTCCCCTGCCCACTCCCTGCAAGAACTCACTGGTGCCCAGCTCCAAAGGGGCCTCATCTGGCTCCCTCGAGACCACCTGACCAGTTGCAACAGAACAGCACCCTCAAGGACGAGGGAGGCGACTGCCTTGGCCGGGCAGGCACACAGGGTCTTCCCTGCTTGCCCTCCCATCAGTAGCTGGCCCTGGGCTGGAAGGTAAAATGACCGATCCCGCCCAGGTCTTGGTCTGCAGGTCCCCCAAGAAAACCAGTACTAGTCAGTTTAGCCCCAAAGAGGACATGCCTTCCAAAGTGGCCCTCCCTGCGCCATGTGGGCATGCCTAGCCACAGGAGCCCCAACAGACTCCAACCTTGCTCAACTAAGGCGCTTCTGGCTAGAAAGCGGTTCTGGAGCCTGCTGGCCGAGCCGTGCTCTCTTTGGCTCCACACAAACAGGAGGTTCAAGCTAAGAGTTCCCCACAGCCACCCCTGCTTATGGTTCCAGGCATGCCGGGCCCCATACTGTGCAATCACTCGCACCACCCAGGGCCTTGCACTGGGCCCAGCCCCAGGAGCCTAAGAGGCCTTGTTCTGGTTAACATCAGTACTCTGGTGACCGGTCACACTTGAGCACGATGTTCTGATGTGCCAAGGCCTCCAGGGCTCTCTGCAGAGGGAACCTATGGGGGACTGAGAGTCCCAGACTTGGAGCAAGCACTGTGGAATGGAAGCATACTTCAATGACTGAACACACTGGGGACACAGTGGTCACGAAGGGATCAAACCCTGGAGTCCAGACACCGGGTCCCTCCAAGGAGAGGTGGAGACCCCTGCTGGGGGCACTCACTGGTAACCCTCTTTTGCCTGTGACCTCCCCGGGTGGTCCCTGCACATATGCAGGGTGATGTCACCACATCCTCAACTCCACTTGGCCACACCCACCTGGGCTGCACCCACTGTCCCAGGTGTGACCTGACTAGAGGAGGGCTCAGTGCCACAGGGCCTTGAGTCCAAGGAGGGCCCCAGCTTGCTTGGTAGGCATTGATGTGTCCCAGGGGTGGTCTTATCAATGCCCCTGCCTCAATGACTAAATTGTGAGAAGGCTGGGGGTGTGAAGAGGAAAAGCAGGGATGGCAACAGACAGTACCAGCAAGCACTAAAAGTGCGACTGCCACCACAGTGGACGCAGGACCCCTAGCAGCCCAGCCACCTGGCCAATTCTTAACATCTCATGCTGCAGAGCCTTCAGCCCTCAACGGGACCACATAACCAGACTCCAAGTGAGGACCTTCTGAGCGGCACCCCCAGGCCTGGCTCACCAGGGGATGCTCCCTGGCTCTGGCCCCAGGAAGACTTTCTTGTGGCTGCTGCATGCCCCACACACCCACCAGTCTGGTCCACAGCGGGCACCATCTAATCCTGGAATTCGAAACTCTTTTAAAAATTCAAAATCGTTACAGGTCATGAATCTCTGAAGTCACTTCTGAACAGTCAAACTTTCCAATTCCATAAACTCTTGAAAGGCAATATGAAGAACTATTCAAGATTACGGAGTAAAGTATGTAACTCAAAGCTGATTTCCTAAATAAAGGTGTTCACTACACCTGTAAAAAGGAGAGGTGTTCTTGGCAAAAGGAACATAATGAAGAAAATCTTTGGGACAAGAAAGATCATGGGGTGCCACAAGAAGATAACACGCCGCACCCCGCAGGATGGCCATAATAAAAAGAATGGAAAAAACAAGTGTAGACAAGGAAGTGAAGACATTGTAACCCTCATACATTGCTGGTGAAAATGTAAAATGATGCAGCTAGCTGCTTTGGCATTTCTTCAAGAAGTTAAACACAGAATTATCATATGACTCAGCAATTCCACTCTTAGGTATATGCCAAAAAGAAAACAAAACATGTGCATGAATGTTCACAGCAGCAGCACAATAGCCAAAAAGAGGAAACAACCGAAGTGGTCCATCAACTGACGAACAGATAAACAAAATACTCCATACGATGGAATATCATTAGCCATGAAAAGGAATGACACACTGATACACGCTCCAACACAGATGAGCCCTGAAAACACGATGTAAGTAAAAGACACATAAAAGTCACATCCTGAAATCACCACAATCAGCAAATCCATACAGACCGAAAGTAGATTAGCGGTTGATCAGCTCGGGGAGGCAGGAACGGGGAGTGACTGCTTAATGCTTACGACGTTTCCATTTGGGGTGACAAAAAAATTCTGGATAATGGTGATGGTTGTGCAATATTGTGAATGTACTTAATTGTGTACTTTAAAATGGTTAAATGGTAAATTTAAGTTATGAGTACTTCGGCGGGGGCCACGGTACATTCAGCACAAGTGAAATAAACCTTTAGACTGGTGACGCCAAGTTAACAGGTAAACAGACCAGATGATGTGCTAAAAGCATCTGGAACTTTCCCTAGAGGAAACAGAGTCAATCAAGTTTTAGTAACAGAGGCAGATGCTCAACTCTTCTTCAATAAAATACCAGAACTATCATTTACTAAGCAAATGCATTTACTGTGTATTCATGGTCTTTTTTTCTCAAAACTTTCGCGAACCCTGTTTAGAGATGGAGAGTCACAGAAGTCGATAGGAGAAGTCACAGAAGGATGATAACTTGTCATCGTCCCAGAACTAGTAAAAATGCCAGGATTCGGCTGAAGTCTTATTGTCTTTAAAGTCTATGCCCTCTTTGCTATGTTTCCCTTGGAAAGGGCAAAGTAAAGGAAACCATCAACCAGTACCTGCAGCCGGTGGGTCCTGGCTGGGGAGCATGTGGCAACAGATAAAGAAGGGATGGATTTGAGAGACTTCAGAGATACATCCAGTTAGGTAAAGAACTAAAGGAGGAGTCAATGATTTCCCCCAACTTCCTAGCTTTGATGAATGTGCAAATGACGGTTTTATTCCCAAACAGATACAGTTACATTGGCATCTATGTTCCTATACAACAAATCAAACATGCTGTGTTACCGTGTGCAACAGGCTGCCGTTCTCTATCAAAGAGGCACCTATTTTTAAAAAATATTCAAGAATCTGTTAATACGGCCGGGCGCAGTGGCTCACTCCTGTAATCCCAGTACTTTGGGAGGCCGAGGCGGGCGGATCACGAGGTCAGGAGATTGAGACCATCCTGGCTAACACGGTGAAACCCTGTCTCTACTAAAAAAATACAAAAAATTAGCTGGGCGTGGTGGCGGGTGCCTGTAGTCCCAGCTACTCGGGAGGCTGAGGCAGGAGAATGGCGTGAACCCGGGAGGCGGAGCTTGCAGTGAGCCCAGATTGCGCCACTGCACTCCAGTCTGGAGGACAGAGCCAAAGTCTGTCTCAAAAAAAAAAAAAAAAAAAAGTCTGTTAATACATAAAACCTAGGTAACATGCCAGTCCAACCAGAAATACTTTTATACATCAAAATTAGGAGGAAGTGGACTTTTCCTGTCTCACGTTAGTGGCTACACTGCCCTTTGTGGAGACGTAGGCATGCACATCTCTATAGAGGTCCATCCTGGGCCCAGCCCCTGTCCACTCTCTACTTGTTCCCTGGGTCACCCCTTCTCAGTCTTTCCCAACATGTGTATATCAAGGAGTCTCAGATTTGTATCTTTAACCCAAATCTGTCTGTTTAAACTTCAGCTTACACACATAGAGTAGAAGCTCGCTTACCAGTCTCACTTTAACTGACTTGAATTGGAATTATGACTCTCTCCAAACCCTTCCTGAAATACACGAGCTGATGCCCAAGGCATGATGAGGACTTCCAGCAAGTAGGCTTCACTCTAATACACTGCAAGCTTTTGCCAGCTTAGTTGTATGTGTTCTCATATCCAGATGTGTTTGTTCTCAAATCCATTTTTGCTAGCTGAACCTGTTACGGTAGTTATGTACTTTTAAGGTCATCAATGAAATATGAATGCAAAAGGAAGCAGTTGTTTCTCTATAAGCTAAGTTGCAAGTTTTTAAAAGGCTCACTTGAGTTTCTTAAAAAAAAAAAGGTGTGGGGGAAAAATTGTAAAAGATTAAGAAAACTCTAAAGATAATCGTATCAAAGTGGTTCTTAAATGCCTATATCCTTAACTTTAAATAAAGTTATATTGGAAAATGTTAACTCTGCAAAGATTAGGCCAAAACAGACATAGCCTAAAGAAAAGGCCTTGGGCCTACATCCAAAGATTGGCAAGTATCAAACTAGAGGTAAGCGGTTAAAAAAAAAAATTGGCAAGTGAACGTATACTTTCATGTTTTAAGTTAAAAGCATATATCCATCTTTTCGTGATTCCTGTTTCAACCAGTTTTCTCAATTAACCAAGCACCTGCTGGTCCCAATGATGTCAGACTTTTCGGCTGTCAAGTTTGTATCTTTACCTAGTTGTCAACAGATACCTCAAACTCAACATGCCCAAAACTTAATTTATTTCTCCCTCCAAATCCACTCTATTCATCTTTTTCCCAGACTACAAACCTGGGAATCATTCTTAACTCCTCGGTGTCCCTCAGTCCACCCATTCTTATTCACCATGTCCTGGTAATGTTTCCTTCAAATATTTTAAAAATCCATTCCCTATTTTTCCTATTCCTGTTACCACAGTGCTGGTTCTGAGGACAGGCATAGTTAAGTGGAAAGAATATGCGCTTTGAAGCCTGTAAGGCTGTTGAACAACACCCGTCAGACGCATCTACCGAGCGATATGAAGTGTGCATTGTGCTTGGAGAGTGAAGGGCATTAAAAGACAGCGAAGACCAGGGGCACCAGGCCGGCCTGCAACACGGCCACAGCCTCGCACTTACCCCTCCATCGCCTCCTGGAGTCCCTGAAGTCATCCCGCATCCTGCTGGGAAGCAGCGTCCACCCGACACAACACCGCCCACACCGGGCCCTTGGCGCGGCTCGCAGGCCCTTCGGGCCCCCTGGGGGCGCGGCCACACACGCCAGCAAATGAGGGCAGTGACCTGGAGCCCCCGCGTGTACTTACACCGCGACAGCTCCGCGATCCACGCACACCGCCCGGCCCCCACGGCGGCCCTGGAGGGGAGCCCCGGCCGCCGCTGTTCGGCCTTTCAGTCGGCTCGCGCCGCTGCCCGCCGGGGACCCGGACAGAGGACAGGGGGCGAGGCGCGAAAGGAAGACGCCTGAGGGTCCAAGGCAGGAGGGGACACACAGAACACGCCGAGGGCCAACCACACCGCCGCGCGCTCCCCGGCTAGGACCCACCTGCTGCAGGTACTGGTTGATGGTAATGTGTGCCATGGCAGCGCCGCCGAGCACAGAGCGCCACCCCCTACACCCCAAGCGGGCCAGCTGGCGTCACTTCCGGCCCTCGGTCCGTCTGGGTCCCGGAGCCCCCGACCCCGTCGCCTGTGCGCAGGCTGGTTCCGGAGGGAGAATCCGGGGACCGGCTCGGCGACACGCTCGGGCTAAGGGGTCCCGGGGTCTTTCTGTCGGGCCCCAGTCCTCTCAGCCGGGACGCCAGCGCCTCTGATTGTGTGTTCGGGCCGGCCCGGGCTGAGGGGTTTGGGGTCCAGTGGCGAGAACAGCCCCACTGCTAAACTGCCTTTCACTGCGCTGTCCCCTCCACTGCCCCTTGTGAAAACGAGGCCGCGGATCACGCTCCGCGCCGGGCTGGGCCAGGGCCTCGGGACGCGCGCGCCCGAGAGGGGGTGGAGGGGAGGGACATGGCGCGCGCTCCCGAGCTCTCATACGGTGCCTCCGCCGCGCGCTCCCGAGCCTTCAGAAGTTGGGGCACGTCCTGGCGCGCACCCCCGAGCCCTCGAGGTGGTCTCACGCCCCGGGTGGGGGTGCCGAACCCTCAGGAGGAGCGCTCCCTGGGGCCCTCAGGAGGGGGTCCCGGCTCCCGAGCCCCTCAGGAGGGGGCCCCCGGCACGCACCCCCGAGCCAGGAGGGGGTACCCAGAGCCCCGGGGGTGTCCCGGTGCGCCCCCCGGAACCGGGGCTGTCCCGATCCCTCGGGGGCGGGGGTGGGGGTCCCGGCGCGCGCCCTCGAGCCAGGAATGGGTGTCCGAAGCTCTTAGGGGGGGTCCGATCCCTCAGGAGGGGTTCCCAGCGCGCGCCCCTAAGCGCTCAGGAGTAGCCGGGCGCGGCGGCGGTTGGACTCGGGCACGCGGGCGGGGCGGGGCGGGGCGCGCGAGGAGGACGGGGCGGAGGCCGCGCGGACCGGGGCGGGCGGAGCGGAGCTGGGCGGGCGGCGGCGCTCGGGGCGGGGCGCGGCGGTTCCGGCCCAGCCATGGCGGACGAGGCCCCGCGGAAGGGCAGCTTCTCGGCGCTCGTGGGCCGCACCAACGGCCTCACCAAGCCCGCGGCCCTGGCCGCCGCGCCCGCCAAGCCGGGGGGCGCGGGCGGCTCCAAGAAGCTGGTCATCAAGAACTTCCGAGGTGGGTGCGGCGGCCGGGTCGAGGGCCGGGCGACCCCAGCGGGGGCCCCACGAGACCCCGCCCGCCCTGGGGGGAAGGCCCGAGATCCGTACGGGCCTCTTGAGCGCGGGCGCTGGGGCGCCGGCCGGGTCGGGGGTGGCGACGCGGGACGCTTCGCGGCGCGCCCTGAGCCGCCCGCTCTCTCTCCGCCCTGCAGACAGACCCCGGCTGCCCGACAACTACACGCAAGACACGTGGCGGAAGCTGCACGAGGCGGTGCGGGCCGTGCAGAGCAGCACCTCCATCAGGTACAACCTCGAGGAGCTCTACCAGGTGAGGCGGCGGCCGAGGCTGGGGGCGCCGCTCCTGCCCCGCGTGACGCAGACGCGGCCGGGCGGCCGCTCCGGGTGCCTCGCAGGCTCTCGCCGGGGAGCGGAAAGGCAGGGCGTTTGCCTCCACTGCAGGGCCGGGAGCCCCAGAGGCAACAAGTGGTTTTGTTTATTGCCGTGGTGGAATTTTTGTTTTCAGGCTTAAGCTGCTTAGAACGATTCTTAAAGTTATCCCATTACCGAAGAGAAGGAGGTGTGTTTCTAGGAGCCACGTGACTCATATTTTGCAAGTATACAGCAAATTATTTCTCTCGTTGTAAATAAAACTGTTAGTACTGTGTCACTTGCCACAGTAATAGGAGGGTTTTTTCTCTGTTGTGTTTTGTGATTAATGGTTGCCTTTAAGATATTCAGATTTTGCAAAACTTCAAAAACAGTGGTTTTCTTCTCTGTTTTGTGATCAGTGGTTGCCTTTAAGATATTCAGATTTTGTAGCGTTTAATTCAAAGGGATGGTGTTCCATTTATAAAGTAACAAAAAATGGCTAAAAGTGCATTTTACCATACTTGGATATTTTATTTACATGCGGATGTTTTTTTCTGGCATCGTCTTTTTGTAAAACAACGTTCATTAAGTAGTCTGATATCTACATTTTGGGTCACGATGTGTCATACAATTATTTCTATTAAAATACTTGAATTAAAAAAATTCTTTTCTGGATATGCAAGTGACTGCATTGTAAAAATTATAAAAAATATATAAAAGAAGACTTCAATCACCTATACTCCTACCACCCAAAGAAAACTGTTGACAGTTTGATGTACATACATCCGTTCTTTGTCTGAAGTGTAAGTGAATTATGTTTTCTTATCAGCTTTGAGATACAGTCTACATATAATGTGCACTCCAAGAAGTTTTAACAGATGTATATATACAGTTATGTAACCAGCACCATGGTCAAGATAGACTCTTTCTTGGTAGAATGGTAGAATATTTTTACCACCCCCGAAATTGCCATGACCACTTTTGCAATCAGCCCTCTCCCCTGACTCCTAACCCTTGGCAGTCCCCCATTTGCTTTCTGTCACTATATTTTGTCATTTCCAGAACGTTATCTAAATGCAGTCATCTATTTTGTAGTGTCTGGCTTCATTCACTTAGGACAGTGCTTTCGAGATTCATGTGCACGCAATGTGATTGTAACTTGTTTATTACCTCATAGAATGGGCATACCACAGTTATTTTCTCCATTCATCAGTTAATGGACATTTGGGTGTCCATGTGTGGGGTTTTATATTTGTTTCTTTGAGATGGAGTTTCACTCTTGTCACCCCAGGCTGGAGTGCGGTGGCGCGATCTTGGCTCACTGCAACCTCGCAGATTGAAGCGATTCCCCTGCCTCAGCCTCCCGAGTAGCTGAGATTACAGGCACCCGCCACCACACCTGGCTAATTTTTGTATTTTCACCATGTTGGTCAGGCTGGTCTCAAACTCCTGACCTCAGGTGATCCGCCTGCCTTGGCCTCTCAAAGTGTTGGGATTACAGGCGTGAGCCCCTGCGCGGCCTTGGGTTGTTTTAAATAAAGCTGCTGTGAACATCTGTGAATGACCCTTTGTTTGGACATACATTCTTATTCCTCTCAGGTAAGTTCTGCTTACTTCTTTATCTAGAAGTAAGTTCTCAAGGGTCATATGGAAAATATATGTTTACCTTTTTATGAAATTTCTTGTTTTTCACAGTGGCTGCCCCTTTTGTGCCTCTCCCAGCAGTGTATGGGAGTTCCAGTTCCAGTCCGCCACCAGCATGTGGTGTCCTCAGTCTGTAATTTTAGCTGCGCTAGTGGGTGTGTGGTGGAGTGTCGTTGTGGTTTTAGTTTGCATTTCCCTCTGATGTGAAGCATCTTCATATTTACTTGCCATTCTATGTATCTTTTTAGATGAAGTGTCTATTTAAATATTTTGCTCATTTTTGTTGTGTTGGTTATTTTCTTACTATTGAGTATTTGAGTTTATTAAGTATTCTGGCTACAAGTCCTATATCAGATATTCGCCTTACAAATACTTTCTCCCTAGTCTTCAGCTTGTCTTTTGATTCTCTTAACTGTGCCATTTGAAGAGTAATCGTTTTAAGTTTTCAGGTCACATGTATCGGTTTGTTCTTCTATGGACTGTACTTTTAGTATCCAAGAAATCTTGCCTAATCTAAGGTCACAAAGTTTTCTCTTATATTTTCTTCCAGACATTTTAGAGTTTTAGGTTTTACATTTAGGTCTATGATCTATGAAGAGTGAATTTTTATATATATTGTGAAATATAAATCTAGAGTCAGAGCAGGTGCAGTGGCTCATGCCTGTAATCCCAGCACTTTGGGAGGCCAAGGCGGGTGGATCACCTGAGCACTCAGGAGTTTGAGACCAGCCTGGCCAACATGGTGAAACCCCATCTCTACTAAAAATACAAAAAATTAGCCGGGCGTGGTGGCAGGTGCCTGGAATCCCAGCTACTCGGGAGGCTGAGGCCAGAGAATCACTTGAACCCGGGAGGCAGAGGTTGCAGTGAGCCGAGGTTGTGCCACTGCACTCCAGCCTGAGCAACAGAATGAGACTCCATCTCAAAAAGTAAACAAACAAACAAAAAATCTAGAGTCAGTATTTTCCCTGCAAATGTCCAGTTATTCAGCCTCTTTTCCCCTACTGAATTGCCTTTGTTCCTTTGTCAGAAACCATGTAGGAGTAGGTGGAGTGAGGTGTGAAATCGGGGTGTGTTGGCCCCCCAACCTCATACATTTGCACAGGTTTCTGGCTATTCTTGGTCCCTTGTGTTTCCATGTGAATTTCAGAATCAGCCAATTTGTATAAGAAAGTGTGCTAAGATTTTGATTGATAGTATATAGAATCTATAGATCAATGTAGGAGAATTAATTTCTTAACAATGTTGACAGGCTGGGCTCAGTGGCTCACACCTGTAATCCCAGCACTTTGGGAGGCCTAGGTGGCCTGATCACTTGAGCCCAGGAGTTCGAGACTAGCCTAGGCAACATGGTGAAACCCCATCTCTACAAAAAATGTAAAAATTAGCCTAGTGGGGTGTTGCACGCCTGTAGTCCCAGCTACTCACTCAGGGCCCCCGCACTACAGCCTGGAAGCTCTCCATGCAGGAAACTGAGCAGTTGGGGCCTATTTGCCTACCATCTTTCTGAGATTCACTGTCTCTCATAGCCCAGTGCTCAGTGCTTCAAAAACTGTTACTTCATATATTTTGTCTGATTTTGTGGTTATTTCAGGCAGAAAGTTAATACAGTTCTTGTACTGTGTCTTGACTAGAAACAAGAGTCCCATCTGAACTCTCAGAGGTCTTTGGTTTAATAAAATATTACACCTTACAGCTAAAGCTTCTTACTACTTTTTTCCTGGAGATTTGGCTGTCTGATATCTGCTGCCTCATTGTTTTTACTTAAAATGGCGGAATTATACTTTGCAACACCTTGTACACAGTGATGTGTCTTATAAAACAATCACTGTACATATTATGAACAATGTTTGCAGGTGCTTTAGGTGTCTGTCTTGAAACCCTGAGAACTAGGAATGCTTACCCCAAAATGACAGTCACTGGTTCCTCCTTGGAATGAGACATCGCAAATTCCAGGGGCATCTCTGGAGGTGCTGCCCCACCAGGGGACATGTGGAATCAGTTGATTCCCTTACCTGTGGGCATGTGCAGCTGGTCGTCTCTCCACGCACAGGTGGGCTTCTGGCCTCTCACAGAGTCTGAAGCATGAGCTGCCTCAGATCTGTTGGAAGCAAGTGGGATAGAAATCTAAGAAAAGCAAATGTGAAATTACTGATGTCTGATCAAGCAGGCAATACATTTGACTTGGTGTTTCAAAATAAAGTCTTAAGTTTTTGTATAGGTGGGGTGGTGTATATGTTGCCAAAGAATCTTATGTGAAAGGACCAATTCTCACCCAAGTTTGAAAGTTTTCGTTTCGTGTTTGGTTTTTGGTTTTGCTCAGTCTCCCTTTACCTCTAAACCCCTTAGGAGTCCTGTTGCTTACACTGTGTGGGCCTCAGCTGGCCTGTTGTTTCTCTGTTTGTTACTTTGTTTTTTTTGTTTTTTTGTTTTGAGATGGAGTCTTGCTCTGTCGCCCAGGCTGGAGTGCAGTGGCCAGATCTCAGCTCACTGCAAGCTTCGCCTCCCGGATTTACGCCATTCTCCTGCCTCAGCCTCCTGAGTAACTGGGACTACAGGCGCCCGCCACCTCGCCCGGCTAGTTTTTTGTATTTTTAGTAGAGACGGGGTTTCACCGTATTAGCCAGGATGGTCTCGATCTCCTGACCTCGTGATCCGCCCGTCTCGGCCTCCCAAAGTGCTGGGATTACAGGCGTGAGCCACCACGCCCAGCCTATTGCTTTGTTTTTATCATTTTCCTCCTGTAATGTGTAGAGGAGAATGTTAGGAAGGCATAGATCTTTTCTGTTTAACCACCTGAATTTAGGTCTGTAATAACTAACTCCCTGAAGAAAGTACATCTTCTGTGTCTTGTGTCTCTATGTTTTAGTCCTACTTTTTGCTAAATGAGACAACAGAAAACTGAAGACTGCATTTCTAGAAAGGTTTCAGAGAAAGGCTATGTTTTGATTTAGAACTGGTGTTTTTGTTTGTTGTTGCACAAACACTAACCTCTCAGGCCTTTAAAGAGAGAGGTGTGGCCTCCCTACGTTGTCCAGGCTGCTTGGGAACTACTGGACTCAAGCAGTCCTCCCGCCTTGGCCACCCAAAGTGCTGGGGTTCCCAGTGTGAGCCACTGCGCCTGGCTGACATACAAGCTCTGAGGAAAGCCAGGCTGTCTTTCTTGAGTCACAGAGTAGTTGTCTCCGTGACATGTTGATAGCAGGTGATAATGGTCAGTGAAGGGGAGCGGTTAATCCTTCGTATTAGGTGGCATCCTTCTCTCACACCCAAGCTGCAGACCCAGTGTAGGGATGGGACCCCCACAGCTACACAGGTCTCATCCTGTGTGGCTGTGAAGATCTCTGTGTGACTATGGAGTTCGCATCCTGTGTGACTGTGGAGGTCGCTGTGTGACTATGGAGATCTCGTCCCGTGTGGCTGTGGATGTCTCGCCTGTGTGACTGTGGATGTCTCATCCGACTGGCTGTGGAGGTCTCGTCTGTGTGACCGTGGAGGTCGCTGTGTGACTATGGAGGTCTTGTCCTGTGTGGCTGTGGAGGTCTCTGTGTGACTGTGGATGTCTCGCCTGTGTGACTGTGGAGGTCTCGTCCGACTGGCTGTGGAGGTCTCGTCTGTGTGACCGTGGAGATCGCTGTGTGACTATGGAGGTCTTGTCCTGTGTGGCTGTGGAGGTCTCTGTGTGACTGTGGAGGTCTCGTCTGTGTGACTGTGGATGTCTCGTCTGTGTGACTATGGAGGTCTCGTCTGTGTGACTGTGGAGGTCGCTGTGTGACTGTGTGACTGTGGAGGTCTCGTCCGACTGGCTGTGGACGTCTGGACGTCTCGTCTGTGTGACTGTGGAGGTCGCTGTGTGACTATGGCGATCTCATCCCGTGTGGCTGTGGATGTCTCGTCTGTGTGACTGTGGAGGTCTCGTCCAACTGGCTGTGGAGGTCTCGTCTGTGTGACCGTGGAGGTCGCTGTGTGGCTATGGAGGTCTCGTCTGTGTGACTGTGGAGGTCGCTGTGTGAGTGTGGAGGTCTCGTCTGTGTGACTGTGGAGGTCGCTGTGTGACTGGTGGGGAGTTTTTTTTTTTTTTCTGAATCCGACTGGCTGTGGACCAGATCTAGTCTGGTGGTGGTGGAGGTCGGCTGTATGACTATGGAGTCGCATTCTGTGTGGGCTGGTGGACATCTTGTCTATGTGGCTGTGAGGTTGCTCTGTGACTAATGGACGGTCTTCTCGCGTGTGTGATCTGTGGGATATCTCGGTTCCGTGTGACTGGTGGAGGTCCGCTGTGTGACTGGGAGGTCTCGTCCGAGGTTGGCTGTGGAGGTCTCTGTTGTGATCTGGGAGTCTCATCTGTGTGGTTGTGGGGTCTCTGTGTGACTATGGAGGTTCCAACCGGCGTGGGCTGTGGGAGCTCTGTGTGACTGTGAGGGTCTCTGTGTGACTGGAGGTCTCATCTGTTGTGGCTAAGGGAGGGTCTTGTGCGACTGTGGAGGTCTCGGTCTGGTGTGGCGTGTGGAGGTCTCTGTTTGACTATGGACGGTCTCGGACCGAGTGGCTTGTGGAGGTCTCTTGGCCTGTTTGTGGCTGTGGGGTCTGCTGTGTGACTACTGGAGGTCTCGTCTGTTGTGCGTATGGAGGTCTTCTGTGTGACTATGGAGGTCCACGCGCCATTGTGTGGCTGTGAGGATCTCTGTGTGAACTTAGAGGTCTCGTCTGTGTGGCTGTGGGGTCTCTGTGTGTCCGACTATGGAGTCCGCCCCATGTGGCTGTGGAGGCGTTCTGTGTGTGGACTATGGGTCTCGTCTCGTTATTGCTGTGGAGGTTCTGTGTGTGCTATGGAGGTCAGTGCGCCATGTGGCTGTGGAGGTCTTCTGTGTGGACTATAGAGGTCTCGTCTGTGTGGCTGTGGAGGTCTCTGTGTGACTATAGAGGTCATGTCCCACAGCTCCGTGGACTTCCTTGTTCTGTCTTCCACACCTGAGAGCAGGGATTGCCCTTATCCGCAGTGAGCATTTTGTTTAAGTAGCAGTGAGTTCACTCCAGGCAATGCTTTGACACTATAAATAGACGTGTATTTGACATTTACACACGTGTCTGTTGAGCTAATACAGACAATCATTTGACAAACCTGCTGGTTAGGAAGTAGCTGTGATGTGAGGAGAGACAGTGCTGGGTGAAGATATACATCAAGTTTCCTCTCTTGGCTGTTTATACGGGGAAAGCATCTTGATACTAGTAGGATAGAATGCAAATGATACTTCTCCACCTCCGATCATTGGATTACATTCCTTTTCCCTGGGGTGAATCTTTAAAATACGAATGAGTGCACCAACATGAAGCACACAGTACCATCTGATTAGTTGCTTTATGCATCCAGAAAGGGTATTTCTAAATCTCAAAATATGATTGAGTGTCAAAAATCCATTTTGGGGAGGGGCAACTCCTATGCCGTGCTGCTTCTATAACAGCACAAAAAAGTGTTCCAGTATATTCCTGCCAGCAAGGAGTTGGCAGGGCGGGGAGAAACAAAGGCTGTCGCCTTTCCAGTGATGAGTGCCTGTAATATGAAGCTGGGAGTCCTGACTCAGCACCTACAGCAAACCTGGGTTACCCAGGGCTTGCTACTTGTTTTGAGAGGCTCCTAAATTCTTAGTTTTAAAAACAAAGTAAATTGCAATATGACTCATATGAATAGTAAATATACACCAAATAGGACACAGAGGAGGCAGAGTGGGTTATAAAATATTCAGGCATTTGCCACAACTAGGAAGAGATGGTTTTAAGGATATTGGTTCTTGGTTTAGGAATTAAAACATCCAGAAAATGGTCATAAGTTACTGTTTTATGAAGGATATGCACCACTAAGCTTATCTTGATTTTTGCTGAAGAAAATACATTTTCTTCATGTATTATATAAAAAACTTACTTTGTAATAATTATGTTTGTGGGATTCACTAATGTTTAACTACTAGAGCAAAATCTTTGTTGTAAAGTTCTCTTGGTTGTTTGAGGAGACAAAAGGGTGGCAGACCTTTGACCAAATTATGAAGACATGGAATTCAAAGGGATGGAATTGAAGAGTTTGAGAAAGGAGTTGAAGTAAATACAGAATGTGGGTAGGAATTCCCTATTTTCTATAGTAAGACAAAATGTAGGGGAAAGTTTGTATTTCTTTGTTATTATGCTGATAATAAGCTTGCTAGAAAATAGGATTATAATTATTAAAAAAGAGATTATAATTATTCCACATCCTCTTTTGGTCTTTATAAATATGCATGTATTTTATATGGTAGTAATCACTGTACTTTGGTTGACATGTAGCAGCTCTCCGATATTTAGTATTGGAATTGTTAATGCTTGTAAGTATTAGTAAAATGAATAGCTCTATAACTTTAGTTTACCTTTTTTTCTAGGGGAATATTGTATCCGAATTAAATTTAGAGTATTTATCTAAAGTGTTTTTATTCTGTTTTTGAACCCCACATTGGTTCAAAACTTGTTAGAAAAACCACATTTCTGTTTATAGTATTTCATATTTGAATTGAATGAGTTTAAGTTTTTGTACATAAAATTGGAAAGGAATTTTTTTTTTTTTTTTTTGAGACAGAGTCTTGCTCTGTCACCCAAGATGGAGTGCAGTGTCGCAATCTTGACTCACTGCAACCTCTGCCTCCTGAGTTCAAGCGATTCTCCTGGCTCAGCCTCCTGAGTAGCTGGGATTACAGGTATGCATCACCACGCCTGGCTAATTTTTGTATTTTTAGTAGAGACAGGGTTTCACCATGTTGGTCAGGCTGGTCTCGAACTCCTGACCTCTTGAGCCACTGTGCCTGGCTAGGAAATTTCATTAGAACTGGTAAGAATGTACAAGCATTGTTTCTTTGAGGTGGGTAAAAATATTGTGAGAAAAATTTTTCTGCCTCAAAAAATGGTGTCAGCTGGGCGGGGTGGCTCACACCTGTAATCCCAGCTCTGTGGGGGGCCAAGACAGGCAAATCACCTGAGGTCAGGCATTTGAGACCAGCCTGGCCAACATGGTGAAACCCTTCCTCTACTGAAAATACAAAAATTACCCGGGTGTGGTGGCGGGCACGTATAATCCCAGCTACTCGGGAGGCTGAGGCAGGAGAATCGCTTGAACCCAGGAGGTGGAGGTTGCAGTGAGCCAAGATCCTGCCATTGTACTCCAGTCTGGGCAACAGAACAAGACTCCAACTCAAAAAAAAAAGATTTCTTATTTTACTAGGGATGTTCATAGAAAAAAAAAGTTTCTTAAGAAAAAAACTGAAGTGAATTACACATCTAGCCTACAGAAAAATAAATAGGAAACAATGTAGTCTGGCCAGTGTCACCTAGAAAAGGCTCAGTTTGGACCGAATCACTGCCCTGGGGAGCGTGAGGGGAACTGGAGCCCCAGCCTGTTGTTCTCCTTCCTGAAGGGAAGGTGGTCACTGAGGGAAGAGGTTTTCTTGGTTCTCTAGCCCTGATTTCACTTTGTAATCATCAAGGTGAACTTACACACACACACTGCATTGACCCCCCACCTCAGACTGAGGAATCGGAGCACCCAGAAACAAACCTGTGAGGATGAAACCTGTGGTGGAGTCCCCAGTGACTGGGCGCCGTAGACGCTCAGGAGTGGCGGGGGCCAGCTGCCTGGGAGCCGAGTCCAGCAGGTGCAACGTGCCCCCATTAACTGTTGTTACCTACCCCCATGCCAACTGTGACTGGACTGCAGTGTTCCAACGAGAAGTGCCCTAAACTTCACCATAATAAATAATTTATTTGTAGATTCCGGAAGTACTGGGGTAGGGTGTGGGATGCCTTTTTGTTATGATTACAGCTGTATTAACAACAGGGTTGTTCTGTGAACCAATCTGTTGTTCATACTGAAGAACTGATACACCCCTTTTGTTCGCAGGCTGTGGAAAATCTCTGTTCTCACAAAGTCTCCCCAATGCTGTACAAGCAACTACGTCAGGCCTGTGAAGACCACGTCCAGGCACAGATCCTTCCGTTTAGAGAATATCCTTTTTTTGGTTCATAAAGTTTCTATTCATTAAGTCTTTCAAAACTGAACATTATTATGATAAAGAACTAATGAGTATCCTTAATATTAAAACAATAGATCTTAAAGTTCTCTTTTATTTCGTGACTCAGAATGGTAGGTTTTTAAGCGAAATTTACCTTCAATTGTTTTGCTGATCTGTATTAAAGGGAAGCCATGCTCACTTATTGGGTATGGTTGAGTGTTTAGGAAACGTTCTGAAAGTGTCTTAAAAGTTCGAGTATCCTTTATTCTAATAAACACCGTCTGCATTGGCTTTCTGTGATAGGCAGCAAAGTCCCATCAACTTGGCGACGTACGGAGACACCTGCTTATCAGCTCACAGCTGTGTCTGTCAGGAGGCCAGGCGGGATTCAGTGGATTCTGTGCTCAGTCTCATGGACAAAGTCAAGGTGTCAGCCAGGCTGCGGCCTCACCTGAGGTCTTTGCTAGCACGGGCAGGCGGTCGGCGGAAGGCAGGCAGTCGGCGGAAGGCAGGCGGTTGGCGGAAGGCAGGCAGTCGGTGGAAGGCAGGCGGTTGGCGGAAGGCAGGCAGTCGGCGGAAGGCAGGCGGTCGGCGGAAGGCAGGCGGTCGGCGGAAGGCAGGCAGTCGGTGGAAGGCAGGCGGTTGGCGGAAGGCAGGCAGTCGGCGGAAGGCAGTTCCTGTGGTTGTGGGACTGAGGGCCCTGGGGCCTTCTGTCCTGTGTTGCTCGGTGTCGCTCTCAGCTCCACATGCACAAGTCCTTGCCTGACTCTTTCTGCTTCTAGACCAGCAGGAGAATCTGCCTATCTGACCTGCTGAGATGGGGCCTTATGTGAGGTAACCTGTGACCCAGTCAGAGAATTGTGACCTTCGTATTCACAGGCTCCTTCACAGTGCATGTGAAGCGTCCTGCACGTGGGGACAGGCAGGAGCATCTCAGAATTCTGCTGCCACACCAGCTGTGACTTAGACGTCTACAGGGGAGTTTCTGGGCTCCTTGGCATCCTATAGAAAATTCTGTAATCTGGACTCAATCTCATTCCCTATCCTCCTCCCATTACTGTAGCTATCCATGTGTCTCATTGGGTAGAAATTAGAAAGTAGAGTTTATAATTGCAGAAAATCTACTTGCGGCTGTACTTTTCTAGGCCTCCGTTTCTTCATATGTAAAATTAGGTGGTTTGTGTTTGCTTACTTCTAAGTGTTCTTCTAATTCAGGGAAACTTCTGCTCCCCTGTCTCCCTGATCTTGGGAAACTAAACCGTTCTGAGTTCATTGGAAGGACCCTCAGGGAAGCTGCAGCAGTTGGTGCTGCTGAAGCTGAAGCACGTGACAGGGAAGCTGAAATGCAGGGTGAGAGGTCTCTGTTCAGACAGTCTCCACAGCGCCCCCCACAGGCGGTGAGTGAGGGCAGTTCCAGCTCTGTGGTGCTGGCTTCTGTAAATACGCCCTGCAGTGTTTTCCAGCAAAGCCCTTTCCTAAAGATCATGAGGTTGTTCAAGAGATGAGTGACCACACACAACCTTTTGGAACCTGGCCAAAGTACACCTTATCTCAGGAGGCGCCTGTGAGGGCGCACGGAAGCAGGCCCCGCCCCAGTGCCACCGCTCAGCAGTGCGCTTCCAGGAACCCATGTTCCGGATGTTTCCATCCAAAAAGTGGCCTGACTCCTAGGCTTGGGGGAGGTCTTTAGCAGATGCCCAAGCCTTCTCCCAAAGACTTAGGCATTTGTGAGAGTCAGTAGGCGATAATTGTTCCTACCCTAGTTGCAGTCCCCATTTACTTGAAAACTACTATTTGATTACCTGATCAAATGATCCTTCTGGCAGTTACTCCTACTCTGTGGGTTGACTAATGTGCCATCAGTTCACTCACTGCACAAGCACTTGCTTTCTACCTGCTGCACTGGCACCGCCAAATGGAAAGCGACCGCCATGCCCGATTTCTACCCTCCAAGAAGTCGCAGGCCTATGGGAGAGGCAGGGGAATTACTGTACTTCCCTGGCGCGGTGGCAAAATTAGGATTACAAAAATTATCATTTGGTTCCTTAAAGGCGAAAGAGGAAAATGCTACCATATTAAGTGCCCTTATTAGTCATGAGACATCTTGAGTTGAGAACTGTGCCAGCCAGGCCAGGAATGGTGGCATGTGAAGCAACTGGGGCAGAGCCTCCCAGAGGAGACCCTTCCGAAGGATGGGGAGGATCCCCCCTCCTGTGGATGCGGCACCGGAAGGTGAAGGGTGCTCTGGAAACCCCGAGCAGCGGGGCACAGCTAGAACTCCAGAGAAGCCGTGGCCCTTAGGCTCTGCTGCTAAGTTGCAGATTGAATTTGAATCTTTGTGGTTACTATCAAGGAGTTGAACTTCAGTCTGTGAGTATCCCGGAGTCCTCACAGGTTTTTTAAGCAAGAAACCAGAATTAGATTGTTCACGGAGGTCACTCTGGCAGAGTGATGAGATAAGTTTGCATATAGACCAGCACACCACAGCCTTTCATTGGGTCGGCACATGTTTTTAAGTATCTGTCATGTGCTAGGTATAATGCCAGGCCCTGGGAAAATAATCTGAGCAGAATGGGATTCTGTCCCTTTGGTGCTTAAACCCAAATGGAGGTGGCAGAAGCATCAGGATAAGCATTTACGCAGTGCTGTGATAAGGGGTTTTTTTGTGTGTGAGACGGAGTCTTGCTCTGTCACCCAGGCTGGAGAGCAGTGGCACGATCTCGGCTCACTGCACTTCCGCCTCCTGGCCTCAAGCCATTCTCCTGCTTCGTCCTCCTCAGTAGCTGGGATTACAGGCGCCCACCACCACGCCCAGCTGATTTTTGTATTTTCAGTAGAGACGGGGTTTCACCACGTTGGCCACGAACTCCTGACCTCGTGATCCACCCGCCTCAGCCTCCCAAAATGCTGGGATTACAGGTGTGAGCTACCGCGCCCGGCCTGTGATAAGGGTTTTCAAAGGTTCAGATAAGCTCCTGGCACCTAAAGAAAGAGCAGCCAGCGCACCTGGGTAGGGGAGCATTGCAGGGGCGAAGTGATGTCTGGGCCAAGTCCTAAAGGATGGATGAGGAAGTGGCAGGCACTGTGGGATGCCAAGGTGGCACAGGCCGGGGAGCAGCATGGGCAGCCCTGGCGCTGAGGAAGCTTACTGGGCGGAAGAGCCAGGTATGCTGCTGGATGTGGGAGAGTTGACCACTGACAGGATCCCTAGAGGGAAAAACGAGGGGAAGGTGGATGCTGAATTGTGGAGGAACCTTTGTTGAACCAAGCAGTGGTTCACACCACGGTGGTTTGGCTGGGCAGCAGAACCACGAAGTGGAATGGCAGCTCCTGGCAGCCAACCTGCTACAGTTCAGAGGAAAAGGATCTGACCGCTGTGGAAGGATCAACCAGACACGGATTGAGGCAGGGAGGGTCTGTCTTGGTCACGTTGTTTTGGAAGGAGGTGAGGAGTCACTCAGGTAGAGCTGCCTGTTGTGCATTTGGGGCTGGAGACACAGATCCAGTGGATCCAGATACGGATGAGATGCCCAGGAAAAATGAGCAGAGTGGCCAGATGCAGTGGCTCACGCCTCTAATCTCAGCACTGCATTTTGGGAGGCCAAGGCAGGAGGGTCAGTTGAGCCCAAGAGCTCCAGAGCAGCCTCGACAACAATTAGTCGGGTGTGTGGTTCACACCTGTGGTCCCAGCTACCCTGGAGGCTGAGGTGGGAGGATTGCTTGAGCCCAGGAGGCCGAGGCTGCAGTGAGCTGAGATTGCACCACTGCAACAGAGCAAGACCCCCATCTCTAAAAAGAAAAAGAGCAGAGCCATCAGAGGAGGTGGCTGAGGGCTGGTGTCAGGGAGGTGAGAGGACAGTCACCTTGTGGGAATCGAGGGGCAAGTTTAATATGGCAACTGGCTTAGTGGCTGATAAGTAGAGTCTGAAGGGATGATGAGACCAGGAAGTGGCAGGTTCTGTGATGAAGGCTTTTAGGCTACATTCGTACGTTAACCTAGTAAAGGTGGGGTGAGTGTTTCTGTCCAACTCAGCACTGTGCACTGGAGACCAGGGACAGGCGTGAATGGCATGGGTCTTGCTCTCAAAGAGCTTGTTTCTGCTGGAAGAGAGTTCTGACCCGGCCCAGTCTCATGGCGAAATGTTAATCTGATGGCAGATGATACCGTGCGGCAGGGAGTATTCCAAGGTCTGCATATTCAGATTTCCTTTGCCTCTGGGATATTCCAGTACTTCAAGTAACTCTGCTTTCTAAGATTTAAGTAATGTGTTGCTGTTTTGAGACTGGAGTTTCACTCTTAATTGCCCAGGCTGGAGTGCAATGGCGCAATCTTGGCTCACCGCAACCTCCACTTCCTGGGTTCAAGCGATTCTGCTGCCTCAGCCTCCCAAGTAGCTGGGATTACAGGAATGTGCCACCATGCCCGGCTAATTTTGTATTTTCAGTAGACATGGAGTTTCTCCACGTTGGTCAGGCTGGTCTCGAACTCCCAATCTTGGGTTATCTGCCGGCCTCGGCCTCAGCCTCCCAAAGTGTTGGGATTACAGGCGTGAGCCACCACGCCCGGCCAGATTTAAGTAATGTTATGTGCCGATTATATTTTGCTGATATTAGATTATAGATGAAGCCCATCAGATGCACAGGTAGAAAGAGGGCTTTTGTGGAATTGAGTCATTCACTACCATCTTCTTCGTTTACCATGTCCATTTTCTTGTCTCACGTGTTTGATAAATTCTGCACTTAGCTGTCCCTTTCAAAATAGATACCTGCCCTTGGTGACGTCCCTTCCCCAAAATAAAGGCCTTTTGTACCCATGCACTCATACACACTCTCAGCCAGAGGCAGCTGCTGCAGAACCCACACCACATGCTGCTGCAGGACCACGTGCCACCCAGCCAGGCTGCATGGGCACCAGGAGCTCTTCAAAAATGTCAGGCCAACTGTCCTCAGAATCTAATCTGTAGATAACAGTAGATGAAACTCATGTTTTCCTTCCCCTGGTTCACCTTGACAGCATTGCAGCTCTGGTCAGCCGCAGAATGCCAGGCAGTGGTGGACCCCGTGAAAGCAGTGTGGTCAGCAGAAGGGAGGGGCACGGGAGTGAGCAGGGAGCCTTGGCTGTTGGGGAAGTCGCAAAGCTCCAGTTGCCTCTTGAGTGTGCCTTTATGATCCGCACTGGCGGCAGCATGCTTTGCCTTTCCTTAGAAAGACTTCGTGCCTGTTCTCACTTGACCAGATACTGTGTATGGAGCACTTGCTGGCAGTAGGCCAAGCTCTGCACATTCTTAAATCGCTTTGTCTCACAGCACCCTGAGCTGTAGGTACCTTTGTTGGCCATATTTTCTAGATGAAGAGACGAAAGCCCAAGAGAGCCCTGTCAGTGCTCGGCCAGATCAAAGGAGGCAAAACAGCGCCTGCCGTCGTGAGCTGTGTGGATGAATGAGGGTCGGCCTAGGGCTGTCCTCTGGTGGTCGGTCTGTGGGTAGAGGCAGCAGGTGGGCCTTGTTCCTGGAACTGCAGAAGCAGACAACCAAGCATGGAAAATGCATGTGTCCCTCTTCTGCCCCAACAGAAGCATCGTCTTTTGCTTTCTTTTTCTTTTTCTTTTTCATTACAGATATGATAGGTAGGTTTTTCCTGTGGTGTAAGCATTTCTGCTGTCGGATGTTGTTTGCTGTTTGAAGACCTGCCTAACTCATCTCAGTAGGCTGTATAAATCCTTTAACGAAGATTGGCTCTTTTCTGTAATGAGAAAAAATATGGTTGCTGAAGAACCTATCTCGAGAATACACTATTGACAGACTCTCACTCTGTCTATATGTCTCACGTCCTAGAATTACTTGCACAGCATTGTGACTATTTGTTATATCCTAGAATCTGGAATTGATTTTGATGTTTAGAAGGCCAGAGCTTACTTAGTAAATGCCACGCTGTGATTTTAGCTTACCATTTTGTACTTTTTTCTGTGGGAAATAACAAAAAAATTTTGATTGAGGATCTATATTGATTTTACAGAGCTATTTTAGAGAAAGTATTTCTCATTTAATGAGCACTTTACGTTGGACTTTCCATCTTAACAAGACACTGCCCCATGTGGAACTCTATCTTCACAACACCTGAGCTGCCCAGTGGTGTCAGATTGACGGGCGTCAGTTTAACCCCATTAAGTTTAAAGGATCTGTGCACCCTCATCCAGAAACAAAGCTACGCCTTCGGCTGGCGGGACCTGCCTGCCAGCAGAGACTTGCGGGGAGGTCCAGGCCACAGCTCTCATTCAGTTCCTGGAGTCAGAGCTGCAGGATGGCTGTTGGGGCTCCTTGAGGCCTGTCCAAATGTACTTGGGACAGATTTTTTGTTTGTTTTTTCCAGACTGTTTCTGTAGATTCCTATATAATGAGCCATTACAATTTTGAGCAATTTTAAAAGAGTACTTCCAGAGGAACCTGTGAACCATTCAGCCATTAGGTCTTTGCTGTAACTGTCTGTTTTTAATTTTCTGGCAGTGCTCTCTGAGAATTCAGCAAAGCCCCAAGAGAAAATAGAGTAAGCTGTCTTAGCCCCTGTAGCTGTGGTCACAGCACTTCCTGGTGTGACAAGGATTCAGACCCCCCGGGAGCGCCTTGGCTGTCCTCAGCACCGTCTGTTCCTCCTCAGGCTCTGCCTGGCACCCTACCCTCCCTGGCAGTCTTCCCTTGTCAGGCCACTCTTTGCCACCCTGAGACTCCAGCTCCTGTCTGATTTGCGCACCCTGCTTGACTGATGTGTTTTCCTCCTCGCTGTGTGTGAGGGTGTTGTCACCGCCTCACGTCGGCTCTGGGTGTGACTGATGTGTTCTCCTCCTCGCTGTGTGTGAGGGTGTTGTCACCGCCTCACATCGGCTCTGGGTGTGACTGATGTGTTCTCCTCCTCGCTGTGTGTGAGGGTGTTGTCACCGCCTCACGTCGGCTCTGGGTGTGACTGATGTGTTCTCCTCCTCGCTGTGTGTGAGGGTGTTGTCACCGCCTCACGTCGGCTCTGGGTGTGACTGATGTGTTTTCCTCCTCGCTGTGTGTGAGGGTGTTGTCACCGCCTCACGTCGGCTCTGAGTGTGTAGTGTCTCACTGCTTGGCAGAAACAGACCTGGAGAAGTCCTTTGGCTTGGCCAGTATCGTGTTGCTGACAGGTGGTGGATCAAGGGTTAAACGTAGGAAGTCCATGTTCTGTCCACTTTGACAAGCTATTTTGTACATTTAATCCATACAAGGGAACAATACCTGCACCACAAGGTTTAGGAGATTTTCAGTGAGAGTGGACGTGAAGAGTGTTTCGTAAACAATAAAGCAGTTTATAGTCATTTATGATTCTCAGCTTTGCATGAACCTGAGGGATGCCAGGCCACTTGCTCTAGGAGCCCATATTCTGGTTTCTTTGTCCTAAACTACTTTTTGGGCCTTTTCCTAAAAATACACGTTCTAAGAGTCAAGGTAGGCCCGGCATGGTGGCTCATGCCTGTAATCCCAGCACTTTGGGAGGCCAAGGCAGGTGGATCATGAGGTCAGGAGATGGAGACCATCCTGGCTAACACAGTGAAACCCCGACTCTACTAAAAAGTAGAAAAAATTAGCCAGGTGTGGTGGCGGGCACCTGTAGTCCCAGCTACTTGGGAGGCTGAGGCAGGAGAATGGCATGAACCTGGGAAGCAGAGCTTGCAGTGAGCCAAGATCATGCCACTGCACTCCAGCCTGGGCGACAGAGCGAGATTCCGTCTCAAAAAAAAAAAAGAGTCAGGGTAACAGTGTTCCTAATTTGATGCGTGGATGAGAGTTCATGTCAGTTTTCATCGAGGCCGAAAGTTAAACCTGAGCCATTTTCCTGTCCGGCTGCACATTGTGACAGGCTGGGCACACTGACTCACACCTGTAATCCTGGCACTTTGGGAGACTGAGACAGGAGGATTAACTAAGACCACGCTTTCAAGACCAGCCTAGGAATATAGTGAGGTGCCGTCTCTTTTAATTTTTAAAAAATAGTCCTTGCGGCTGACTCTGACCATGCCAGTCCCCATCTCCAGGAGCCCCCGTGGGAATATATTCAGTGGCTGCCTTTTGTGAAGTGGAAGCCTTTTGTCCAGCCACCTAGCCCCAGGGCACTTGTGGCCTGGGCGTGTTTCTGCCAGCAGGGACTTGAAAGTGTCTGGCAGTGAAGGAAGCAGAGAATGAAGGGAGGCTGGAAAGGGAACGGGGACCGTGGGAAGAGAAGGCAGCGCCGGCAGGCTGAGTGCACATCGGTGATGAGATACGGAGATCCATGATTGAACTTCTGGTGTGTCTTACCCACTGGGGCTGCTGTGATGAAACACCGTAGACTGACTCATCAGCAGCAGGAGTCTGTTGCTCACAGCTCTGGAGGCTGGAGGCCCAGGGTCGAGGCACTGGCAGATTCCATATCTGGTGGGGCCCTGCTTCCTGGTTGATAGCCAGCACCTTCCCACTGCATCCTTGTGTGGTGGAAGAGGCAGGGGAGCTCTCTGGGGTCTCTTTCATAACCCCATTCTTGAGGTTTGTCCACTCTCGTGACCTTATCACCTCCCAGAGGCCCTGCCTCCTGACACCATTACCATGGAGTTAGGGTTTCGGCCTGTGAATTTTGGGGGACGTGAACATTCAAGACTAATATTCTTTCAGTGTTCCGATTACTAAATGATGTGTAGTATTCGGTGGAGAAAGCAGCTGAAATTAAGGGGTTAAAATTGTAATAATGGCCGGGTGCGGTGGCTCATGCCTGTAATCCCAGCACTGTGGGAGGTTGAGGCCAGTGGATCACAAGGTCAGGAGTTCAAGATCAGCCTGACCAACATGGTGAAACCCTGTCTCTACTAAAAATACAAAAAATTAGCTGGACTTGGTGGCGCATGCCTATAATCCCAGCTACTCAGGAGGCTGAGGCAGGAGAATCGTTTGAACCTGGGAGGCAGAGGCTGCGCTGCAGTGAGCTGAGATCGCACCAGTGCACTCCAGCCTGAGCGACAGAGCAAGACTCCACCTCAAAAAAAGAAAAAAAAAATTGTAATAATTAAATTGGCCAGCGTTTTTTAAAGTTTTCCTTAGCAGGTCTGTACAGACTCACTAGATAGTGTTTTATTCTTAAAGAAGATTAACACATGCTGGCAGAACCACTGCAGACAAATGGTAAGCAATGTTTTTATCAAAACATGACTTCATCCATCTTCCCTCACCCACATGATTGAGAGCTGAGACGTAGAAGTTCTGTCTGTGTTCTGTGCTATGGGTGAACAGCACAATGAGAAAAGCAGGGAAGGTGAACTCAGCTCTTGTGGGAGGGCACTGCTGACCCTCTTGGCCTTCAGGTCCACAGTCAGAGTCCGCAGTGGTGACAGGATTCTTAAATGCCTGAGTGGGTCTCTAAATGTCTCTTTAAGCACAACTTACTCCAGAAAATCAAGCCTGAATCCCAGGTCTTTACTGTAACTGCACAACCAACATCTTAGGCTTTGTAGATGTCTTAGCTTTGACTTGACTTCATGTGTACATTTTGGTGTGAGCTGGCTGTTAATTAAGTGAGAGAAAAGACCGTATTAATAGCTTTCCTAAATAGGTTGAAATCTTTCGTTTTCTAAATGAGACAAGTAGGAGACGATGGGTGTGTTTCTTTTCTGGGCCAGGTACCTGGCAGCTGCTAGAGCCCGCGGAGTGTCTTTGGGAAGGTTTGAGTGAGATGTGTCCACACGTCTCCCCGGCCAGGTGGTGGGCTCGGTGGTAGGAGCACAGGACAGGGCCAGTGCATCATCCCGCGTCCCCTCACTCCGCTCGTAACGCAGAGTCAGAGACACACGTCCAGGAGCCTCATCATGTAACAGGAACTCGGGTTTTAAAAGCTTAGTACATCTCCCTAATCAAGATGTACCACGTCAGTCAGAAAGTGACCAAATTTAAAAGATATCCTTTAGGCTTTGCCTGAACACAGAATCTCTTTAAAAAAAAAAAAAAAAAGATACCGTTTTAGGCTAAGTGCGTTAAAATTCTTACAATCAGATATACGATGTTAAAGAGATGGAAATCACATACCAAGGGAACACAATTAACTTTAGGAAAAAAAATCAAACATGAGGACCGTGGTGGACAGCATCTTTCCATCAGGAAACAGTTGTTGGATTTGAGACAGCTAGCATGGAGTCCAAAAGGCCTGATCTTGAATATTCTGCTAGTAGAATTCATGAGTAAATGGTTCTTCTTTCTGCTGGTCAGATCATGATTAGAAGCATCTTCCTGTTCTTGGACCGCACCTATGTGCTGCAGAACTCCACGCTGCCCTCCATCTGGTGAGTGTCCTCACAGGGCAGAGCTGCGTCTTCGCTGCGGCTGATGCCTTCCGTCCCATTTGTGTCTTCGGCAGGCTAAGATGGTAAAGTGTGTGTGATTACTTGTGCCTTCCTTTCTTCAGCCAAAATCATTAATGTGAACGTAGGAGTCCAGGTGGGTCTTAGCCTTGAAACACCAGGTGCCTGGCCAGCAGCGAGGAGTAGAGCAGGAAGCTGGGACAGGCGGCTGACTTTGGTCATGAGGGTGGAAACAGAGGGCCTTGGTTTCTCTCTGACAACTGGAGTTTGAGCCTGGAGCAGCTCTTTCCAGCACTGCAGTCGAAACTCTGAGAGACTGCCTGCTGCCCATGGGGTCATAGCCCTGAGGCTGCGTGGCCCCTGTGGAATGGCTTGCTCAGCCTCCTGGCCTCCTGAGCACATAGACAGCACTCATCATCCGTCATCTTTCGGGGACTGTATACACTAGGGGTTCTGGGGCCCCTCCTCAGCAGCATTCACGGCCACTGACCCCTGCATGTCATCTGCTGACCCCCATGTGTCCTGTGACCACTCCATGTGCTGAGTCCTGCCGCCTCCTGCAAGCCGACCTTGGACAAAAGCTGTGTCCGTCTCACCGTCTGATTTGTCTTGTTCTCTGTTCACCGTCTAATTGGTCTTGTTCTCTGTTAATGGAGTGTTTCATTCTTCTCACATTCAAACATAAAAGTGATGTTGTGCCTTCTCATGACCTTTAAACCCAAGTTCTTTAAAATGTGCCTGCTTTTCCTACCCCCACCCACTGGGCACACTGACCCAAGGCGGTGTGATTTCTGCCTTCGGCATGTAGAGATTGCTCTTGTCTGAGATGTCAGTGACCTGCAAGTTACCAAATCCAGCAAGCATTTTTTGTCCTTATTTTATACAATATCTGTGCAATTTTGGACACCCTGTCCTTGTTGAAGCTCCCTTAATGCCATTTGTCCCTCTAACTTCCTGGTGGAACCCCCACACATCTCCTAGCAGACATCCACGTAGTCTGTGAGAAGGCAGACGCTGACAGAAAGGACAGCCTGTGTTCCGGGAAACAATGGAGATAATAAAAGTGATCATAGTAGCTTATTTAGCATTTATTCTGTGCAGGGGACTGTTTCCTACTAATGTATTTAATCCCTAGAACAGCCCTATGGCGTGGCCATTGTAACTCCCCTTTTATACAAACTAAGGTACATAAGTTGAAATAACCTGCCCTACCTGGATTGTCCAGCCCATAGTCTAAATGCTTTTCAAAAATTATTATTATTATTTTTAGAGACAGGGTCTCACTCTGTTACCCAGGCTGGAGTGCAGTGGTGCAGTCATAACTCACTGCAGCCTCAAACTCCTGGGCTCAAGTGATCCTCCTGCCTTGGCCTCCCCTGTAGCTGGGACTATAGGCAAGCACCACCACATCCAACTAACTTCTAAAAATTTTTTTGTAGAGCCAGGATCTCACTATGTTGCCCAGGCTGTCTCAAACCCCTGGCCTCAAGCAATCCTCCCACCTCAGCCTCCGAAAGTGCTGGAATTACTTGTGTGAACCACCATGCCCAACACTAAACTCTTAATTTGTAAACATAGTGTATACCATAACTGTCATACAAACTACAAACAGCGTTTATAGAATAGAATAAATGATACCACCTCCAGTCTACCATAAGAGGCTAAAAACCCGAATGTGAGCATCAGTACAACAAGAATCCTGGTTGAGATGTGTGTGGGCAATGCGTGATGAGGACATTGTCCATCTCTGGGATGGGGAGGAGGGCTGAGGGTCAACCTTGGCCTGTGCTTTGGAGAATGAGCAAGGGTGGTCAGGCAGCTAAGAAAGAAAGAGTAGAAGGAAGGAAGCAGTAAGTTCAAAGCCGAGTGTCTCCTGCCGCTGATGGCTAGGACAGCAGCATGACCGGAAGAAGCCCGTGTGGGGCCTGGGCGGGTGGGGAGGGGTGGAGCTGATGAGGGCCCTGAAGGGTTTTCAGCTGAGGTGGTGGTTTTGAAGAGAAGATCCCTGTGGCAGGGTGGAAAGTCACAGAAGTGGAGACCGGAGCCTTTCTAAGCACTGGCTACTTGCCTGGCACTGCCCCAAGGGCTTCACAGGCAGGAGCTAATAGCGTTTGAGCCTCATTTTACAGCTAAGGAAGGAAAGGCACAGAGACGTGAAGCTCCTTGCCCAGGGTCACACAGCTAGCAAGTAGTAGGGCCAAGATTCAAACCCAGGCAGCTGCCTCGAGCCACAAGTCTGGCCATTGCACCTTCCTGCCCCTGCTGTGGTGAAGTGCACAGAAGACCTGGTGTGCAGCAGGTCTGGGAGCGACAGGATGCCTGTGGCGGTGTGGTGGGCAGTCAAGGGCGGTGCGTGTCTCCACCACCGAGTGACTCCCAGGGCCCTCTGCACACCTCTGTGGCACCCACCGCTGCAGCTGCTGCCACCACTGCCACCATAATTCATATTATTATTACTGCCACCGCCAACACCCACCTACCACTGTTTCTACTGCCACCACTCTCCACCCACCATTACTGCTGCTATCACCGCCACCACCGCCATTACTACTGCCACCACCACCTGTCCACCACTGTATTACTGCTGCTGCCACCACCAGCACCACTCCTGCCCTCAGGTGCCAATTCAGGATTTCTGGCTGGAGCCCAGCATCTGTATTTTTGGCCCCTCCTTAACGGAGTACTTGGCCATTGGGGGCAGCAGGAGTGTTGAAGCAAAGCACAGAACCCCCAACATGGGTTTTGTGGACAGTCCCTGGCAGCTGAAACATCTTCATAACATTCCTCAGGCCGTGAGCTGAGGACTGCAATGAACTCTGAAAGCCGTGTGTCACCTTCTCTTCTTGGGAAAGCAGCAAACATTTGGTGGGAGAGCTCCCAGGGCTTGGAGAAGGGAAGCTGCTGGGACGTTCTCCGCAGAGGACATTGGGAAGAGAGTGTACCCTGAGGGCTGTTGCAGATGGTGGCAGGCAGGGCAGGTGGGGCAGGCAGGGTCATGGTGCCCGACTGAGCATCTCTGGTCACTCACCAGGAAGGTGGCAAGAACCCCGGGCTTCCGCCAGCAGATTATGTGATACCAATTTTGTCGTCAGTGGCATGCTTGGCCTAGCAGTATCTCCAGGGACATGGAGCCGACAAGGCACACTAGACTGGCCGAAAAACAGAAGTTTTTAAAAAGAAATTCTTGGCACCTAGATGTAGAGAATTAGCTACTTCACATTTTTTGGATGATATTGAGTAGCATAGCTGGAGATAACACCCGTAACTTCTAAAAAGCGAAACTAAAATGTATTGTTTCTTACTGTCTGTACAGGGATATGGGATTAGAACTGTTTAGAACCCATATTATTAGTGATAAAATGGTTCAAAGTAAAACCATTGATGGAATCCTGCTGCTGATCGAGCGCGAGAGGAGTGGCGAGGCCGTGGACCGGAGCCTGCTGCGGAGCCTGCTGGGCATGCTCTCCGACCTGCAGGTGAGTGCTGCCTGTGCCGAAGATGCCCGGGTACCTGCCCAGCTACTTGCAGCAGAATAAATGGTTGTACCAAAGATGTTAAACAATGAAATCATAAAAGTGTTTGTTGAAGATAGAAGAGTCTTTAAAATCCCTAGGAGGCGAATGGCTCTCAAGCTAACACCACACCAGGTGCCACAAAAGGGAAGATGGATCAATATCACTACGTAAAATGCGCCTTTTTCATGGAAAATATACCACAAACAGACAAAACCAGATGACATACTCGGGGAGAATGTTAGCAACACACACAAAAGACGAAGGGTGAAGTTCTTTAGTGCAATGTGACCCCAAGGCACCGTAGGAAAAGAACAGAAGAGGGTCTGCCTGGCCGTTTTGGGAAGGACAGTGCAGCTGGCCGGCTGGGTGGCCACAGGCAGCTCCAAGTTCAGGTCATGGCAGCCTGCCCCGTCAGAACCTGGGATTTGTTAGCCCTTGAAAAGGTAGTTTCCTTTACTGAAATTGGTCAGTAACTCTGCTCATTTCTTAGGTGTATAAAGATTCATTTGAACTGAAATTTTTGGAAGAGACTAACTGCTTATATGCTGCCGAAGGCCAAAGGTTAATGCAGGAAAGAGAGGTGAGATGATGGGATGCTTCCGAATCCCCTGGCTTCGTTTCTGCAGATGAGCATCTGGGAGGACTTTCCTCGTGTTTGCCTTTTCACACACACACAGATGTTTCATTGAAAATCTGAAAGCTGCAGTCTTGCCAGAATCCCCAGTAATGAGCTTCATTCTTAGTATACTAAGAATTTAGTTTATGTTAACTTAGAAACTATTGCCCTCTCCCCACAAGTAAAAATCTGTCAGATCGTTTCTGAAATAAGTAAAATAACTCAAATTTAAGCAAAATGATAAAAACATACACCTTAAAAATGAAAAATAAATACAAATGATAAAATTTTTTATTTGTGTGAAGCACTGCAAAAAATTTTCCCAAAAAAAGCCATGTGAAAAAACATATAGTAGTAATAGGAACCAAAAAAACTTAACCACTTTTCCAGATACCAGAGCAAAATCATAAAGGAACCTGCCCCATAGACTGTCACCCAAATGGCACGTGCTACTGCCCAGAATTGGCCCTGGCCATTGGTTCCTTCATTCTGGCTTTGGAGAGGAAGTCTCATGTCAGATACTGAGCCCGGCTGCAGCTACCCCGGCAGAGCCTCAGGCCTTTCCTGCACTGTCTTGGGAAACATAGGTGTACTTTGAGGTCTCCTGCCACCATGTTGTTTGGTGTCCCCAGATGAACAGCCAGCTTGTTGACTTGCTTTTGCTGACCCATCTGTGCGGGGCAGAGTTGCCATTTAGGACCTCACCCTCCTACCAAGTGCTGCTCAGCTCCCTGTGGGCCCTGGGGATGGGAGGAGGGTGTGCACAGACCCTAAAACTTAGTGGTGAGCAGGGACGAAAGAGAAGTGCAGCCTGGGCCCTGTTCTAGGATGGATGTTAATCTCGATCCTTTCTCCATGTCCCCCCAACACACTTGCATCCTACCTCTCCCTCCCTGTTAATCTGTGTTAATATTTGGCTTGAATACATATTCTGCTTTTTTTAAAAATTACATATAAGGAAAATAAAATTTCAATCTCTTGGATAATGTTGACAGTCTTTTTGTTACTGATACGTTTGTTTTGTTTGGAAGGTTCCAGAATATCTTAACCATGTAAGTAAACGTTTAGAGGAAGAAGGAGACAGAGTGATCACTTACTTGGACCACGGCACACAGTAAGTACCGATTGCTCACCGAGCATTCATGTCTTCACCACGGCTGGAGGGTTCTCCTGGCTGGTTATTGAAATAAAGGGTGTCTCTGTCAGTTCATTCAGCACTAAGAGTATTTTTGCACCTAGCATATTTTACTTTGTTATTTGTCCTTATTTGGCATTTACAAATTACAGTTTTTACCTAGTGCCTTGTCATAAGTTATTGTCTAAAGGGAGTAAATCTTGCTGAGATACTTGGCATCTTTGAGTTTTGAGATGGGCTATTTATGTTAATGGAGTATCACTGAATATTAGGCTATTTTGATTGTGCACTCATTTTATATCGCTTTAATTTTATTTATGGTGCTGTCACACAATTTTCCCTTTTCTTCTAATGTTTTTTTCCTGCAAACCTGAGGTTGATAAGTAGCTAGGGAAACAAAAAGGTTGAGATTATGTGAGTGTGCGTGTCAGGCACAGAATGTCCGTGTGATGGGAGGCAAGAACAGGGGCAGAGGGGACAGCAAGGGAGAGAAGTGAAAATGATACAGTGTGCAGCTGGGTGCGGTGGCTCACGCCTGTAATCCCAGCACTTTGGGAGGCTGAGGTGGGTGGATCACGAGGTCAGGAGATCGAGATCATCCTGGCTAACCCAGTGAAACCCCATCTCTAGTAAAAATACAAAAAATTAGCCGGGCATGGTGGCGGGGGCCTGTAGTCCCAGCTACATAGGAGGCTGAGGCAGGAGAATGGCGTGAATCCGGGAGGTGGAGCTTGCAGTGAGCCAGGATCGCGCCACTGCACTCCAGCCTGGGTAGCAGAGGGAGACTCCATCTCAAAAAAAAGAAAAAGAAAATGATAACAGTGTGCAGAACTGGGCCCCAGTAGGGAATGATAAAATGTACAGATGTGCAGAACAGGACTTGGTAGGACTCAGCAGAGAAAACAGGAAGGGAGATGAAAATGATACAATGTGCAGAACTGGACTCAGCAAGGTAAGGAAAGGGGCAGGCCAGATGAAGGAAAGAGACAGGATTATGACAGAATCCAGCACGAAAACAGAGCGCGCAGGAGAAGAGATGTGGTCACTCCGACGTGTGGAGTTGGAGGAGGCTGTGGGAAATCCAAAATCTCAAGCCAGACAGGGTGCCTCAGGGGCCATGTTGTGCTTCCATCCAACTGGGAGCAGAAAAGCAGCCCCCAGGAGACTAGGAAGCAGCAGCCAGGGAAGTCCGGGGGAGATGGTGGAGAGAGCGGCAGCCACAGTGAAGCCCCACAACCAGGGTGTGCAGGTCACACACAGCCTCCCTGAGCCCTTTCTGCTCGTGTGGGAAGCAGGAGGCGGAATGTCGGCTCTGCCCTTCTCCATAAGATGGTAGGTTAAAACGTTCTTTGTAAACTAGAAATGAAGGCTTGGGAAGATGGATGAAATTAGCAATCCTTGGAATAAAGCAGATGCATCCCTGCTTCCCTGGGCCTGCCCGTGGGCCTGTTTGTGCTGTTCAGTAGGGGGTTTTTAGAAAGTGCTTCCTTCAGAGTTATTAGCAACAGGAGTCATCCATTTGCATGAGGAAATGCTCTTAACCTTCCGTTTCTGATTGCCTCTAGACTGCATCTGTCATAGACAAATGCCCCCATCTTTTCCAGAGAACCAGTCTCTTCTTTAAACTTTATTTCTAATGCTTATTCTCTTTGCCTTATGTAGGAAACCACTGATTGCTTGTGTGGAGAAACAGCTGTTAGGAGAACATTTAACAGCGATTCTGCAGAAAGGTAGATTTCCTAGCTCTTGTGCAAATTAAACTGAACAGTTATCCTTAATTCATTAGGAAAGTAAAGGGAGCATTACAAATAGCAATGTTAGGATGTTTGTTATTTTCATAAGACCGTCATTAAACTTCTTTTCTAATGAACATGTTAGCCATCCACAGGAGAAAAAAACCAGAGAAAGAAGGGAAGGCACCCAGGGGAACTACATTCGCTGCTAAAACCCCAGTGGCGGGAAGGCCTGGGGGCCTTCTTATCACACACACGCTGAAACCTGGGTGCAGCGAGCCTGATGCAGCTCCCTGAGCAGACTCATTGCATGTGTCCGGCCATTCTTCATGCACACTCGGATGTAGGCGACTCAGGGAGCTGTTCAGGCTGTTAGATTTTCTTGAGGCTTCCCTCACCTGTGGACTTCGTGCATCTTAGTGTCAGATGAACTATCGCCTAGGTGGTCTGCTTAAGCAGAGTACACTTTTCTCCTGATTTTCTGGAGGAGAAGAGCATGTGTTCTTGTGCTGACTGGACGGCCTTAACGTCCACTTCTCCCCGAGTGCTGGCCACAGCAGGAAGATGGCTTCTAGCAGCCTGCACCTTTAAAATGGATGCTGATGTCTTCAACTCGATCTTTGTTTTACTGCTTTTATTTCTAGGCTTCAAAGTGTGCTAAATTCTGTGGAAATTATAATGAGCAGTCTAACCTTTATAACACTTCAGTACTTATTGTGATATTTCAGTGTTACTGTTTGAAACAATGTTACCTTCTAAAAGTCATTTTAATGTATTTGGAAAATGCAAGATTTTTTTCAAGCCCTTGGAAACCTTAAAGTTTAATTTTGAGAATGCTCTAAATGGTATTCAAATATATTCTGGTGGCCGGGTGCGGTGGCTCAAGCCTGTAATCCCAGCACTTTGGGAGGCCGAGACGAGCGGATCACGAGGTCAGGAGATCGAGACCAGCCTGGCTAACACGGTGAAACCCCGTCTCTACCAAAAAAATACAAAGAACTGGCCGGGTGAGGTGGCGGGCACCTGTAGTCCCAGCTATTCGAGGCCGAGCAGGGAGAATGGGCGTAGACCACGGAGGTGGGAGCTTGCAGTGACATCACTCCACCTGGCACAGAGCAAGCTCCGTCTCGGAAAAAAAAAAAAATCACCAAAATATTCGGTTGGGTTCTACATTGTCAGATAAATGGGCATTTAGTGGCTAAGAGAATACAAGATGCACCGAAACAAATACCCAAATGAGGAGGAGAACTTAACATGATTGGGCATCCCTGTTACAACCAGCTACCACCTTGATGTAAATTACTTTTAATAATTGCATTCTTGAAATTCATTTATCCACTTCTATAATAAGAAACCAGTGCGTAAAACAGCCAGAAATACTGAGTGCCTGAAAACACATTGCTTTAAAGTTGAGGAGCCATGGGTCCAGTCTCTGATATGTTTTTCTGCTTATTCTCGCTACTGAAACCTACACAGCTGGTGTAGTTTCACCATATTCCACCTAAAAACAAATGCATTCCAGAATTTGTGTCAGGCGCTTTTTGTTGAAAAGGATCACTATAAGCAAGAAAGCCAGGCATGGTGGCCCATACCTTGAATCAGCAACTTTGGTGAGGCCCAAAGTATTCACTTGGCCAGGAATTCAGGACCAGCCTGGACAACACAGAGAAAACCCTGTCTCCACCAAAAAAAATAAAATTAATAACATTATAAAGCCACAGGTGGCGCATGCCTAGGTACAACTACCAGGAGCGAGTGGGAGATCACATTGGCACAGGAGTGAGGCTACAAAACACAAAGCCCTGGCGACAGAGCCGGAGACCCTGTCTCAAAACAACAGGAAAGAAAAGAAAAAAGCCACTGGGGACAGAACAACAGAGCCTGTTCAAAAAAAAAAAAAAGAAAAGAAAAGGCCGGCACTGGTGGCTCATCGCCGTAATCCCAGCACTTGGGAGGCTAGGCGGCGACATCAACAAGGTCAGGAATTGAACTACAGTGAAAACCCGTCATCTACTAAAAAATACAAAAAATTAGCGGTGCGGTGGTGGTGGCGCCTTAGTCCCAGCACTTCGCGAAGGCTGAGCAGGAGAAATGGCTGAACCCGGAAGCGGAGCTTGCAGTGAGCTTGAGACGCGCCATTGCGCTCCAGCCTGGGAACAGAGGGAGACCCCGTCTCAAAAAAGAAAAAAAAAAGGACAGGGCGCGCGGGCTTCAAGCCTGTAATCCCACGCATTTGGCGAGCCGAGACGGGCGGATCACGGAGGTCAGGAGATCGCAGGACCCACCTGGCTAACCTGGTGAAACCCGCCTTTACTAAAAGTATCAAAAACTAGCGAGCGAGCTGTGGCGCCTGTAGTCCCAGCTACTCGGGAGGCTGAGGCAGGAGAATGGCGAGAACCCGGGAGGCAGAACTTGCAGTGAGCTGAAATCCGGCCACTGCACTCCAGCCTGGGCGACACAGCGAGACTCCGTCTCAAAAAAAAAAAAAAAGAAGATTTCAAGTAAATAGTAGAAATTTGCATAAATTATTCCAGTACATACTTTGTTGAGCAAAATTATTTAAAGAAAATGGTAAATTATGTATGTAAAAGCTTACTCTAAATTGTATTAGAAGTATTTTAGGCCGGGCGCGGTGGCTCAAGCCTGTAATCCCAGCACTTTGGGAGGCCGAGACAGGCGGATCACAAGGTCAGGAGATCGAGACCATCCTGGCTAACACGGTGAAACCCCGTCTCTACTAAAAAAATACAAAAAACTAGCCGGGCGAGGTGGTGGGCGCCAGTGGTCCCAGCTACTCGGGAGGCTGAGGCAGGAGAATGGCGTAAACCCGGGAGGCGGAGCTTGCAGTGAGCTGAGATCCGGCCACTGCACTCCAGCCCGGGTGACAGAGCGAGACTCCGTCTCAAAAAAAAAAAAAAAAAAAAAAAAAAATTTTAAAAATTAAAAAGTTACGTTTTTTGAATTCTTAAGACATGGGTTTTAGTAAGATAAAGTACAAAAAGTTTGTGTCAGTAGATCAGAATGTAATTGAGAGAAATAAACATTTGAAACTCTAGGTAAGAATTGTAATTATAGCCCCACCGTATGTTTGCACACATATTTAAACCACCCCATTTGTGTGGACACCGTGCCCATTGTGGGCAGAATCTGAGACTTTGTGAATTGGATGACTGTTCACTGTTTTATGCTCTAACCTGGCTGCCTCTCAATAGTTACCATAAAGCAAGTATTTAGAAAATCTGTGAGAGTTTTTCTAATTGAGGTATGGTTTTAGAAAACCCTTATAAACATTAAAAATCTAAAACACTGAAAACTTTTTTAAATGCTATGTTAAATACTTCAAAATATCTGATGATATTTTTTTCTTATAGTTTAGGTGTGAATAAATTTAATCCACTATAAATTAGATTTGATAGCTTGTCCTTTTACATTGTCTGGCCGATGGACCAAATTAGAAGTATATTGGGAACATGAACCTCCCAGGTTAAATAGTTGGTATAAACTGAATTTTCTGACTTGCTAACTTTAGTGAAATAAGAGGGCTTCAGTGACATGAAGAAGTAAATAATACATCTTCCAACATACTCAGAAAAAATGAGGTTCACCTAATAGGATCCATCTCAGATATTTAACCAGATCAACCTGCTCATATACAGGCAGTGATGTATAGACCCACCCAGTTTCTAAGCGATGTATTGGCATTCTTACTGTGCACGCTGTATTCTAGTTGAGTTATTGTTGTTAATGCTGCCCATGCTGTACTCTGCTGACGTGTACTGCACATCTCAGGGCTTGACCACTTACTGGATGAGAACAGAGTGCCGGACCTCGCGCAGATGTACCAGCTGTTCAGCCGGGTGAGGGGCGGGCAGCAGGCGCTGCTGCAGCACTGGAGCGAGTACATCAAGGTACTGGTGGGGTTTCGAGGCCGCAGGCGCGGGCGTTTCCTGCAGGGAGCAGAGCCCCTCCTGAGAATACCCAGTGCCCTGACAAAGGGAACTGGGCTGCTGGAGGGCCCATTGGCATTTTCATCACAGATGATAGGGTGGATGGTAGTGTTCTATCTGCTTCCCCATCACCAGTGTGAATTTGCTTTTTAAGATAACACCAACAGTGATTAGCACCATCCAGGTAGAAAGTATAACTTAAAGATCAACAGTTTTGCTCTTCTTCATCAGCGTAAATATTGGTTTAATTCTAAATCATGATTTTTCTGAAAGTAATCATTTTTGTAAATCTGCTTGTCAGACAGGATCTCCTCATGCCTTTAGCTCAGTGAGAACTATTATATATTTGGCGTATTAGATTGCTTTATAGACTTTATTTCTTAACAGACCAAATTTAGGATTTGTTACTTAAACTTTCGCTTTCATGTTTCGAAAGCATTTCTTTGGCATCCCTGACAAGCCCAATCCAACCCATCATAGCGTGGCTTCTTGAGCAGTACCCTGAGTTTTCACATGTCCTGCCCAGGGGAACAGCCCCTCGGTGCTGACATAGGACCTCCCTGAAGACTAGGGGCTCTCGGCCCAGGGCACCACCCCACCAAGGGGACACTTGTTGATGTGTGGAGACGTTTGTGGCTGTCTGAGCAGAGAGGGTGCTGCTTGTTCTGCTGGGCAGCCCCGGGGTGCTGCTGAATGCATGAGGCAGCCCTCACCACAGAGAATCGCCTGCCCAGAGTGCCAGTGTTGCCCAGCCCAAGAAACCTACTGAAGATCCTCTATAATGAGAAGCCATTCTCCAGATGCCCCTTACAGAAACAGGAGAACTGAGGCAAACATCAGGGCCCCTTCGCAGATAGCTCGTGTTTTCAACATGTGCCAGTTGCATGAATTTTCCAGCTTAAATGGTGAGCGTTTAGCAGGAGTCTGTGTGTGCTTGCTGGTGACTATTCTTGGATCCCAGAATGAAAAGATAGATAAAATTTCCAGAGAATTACGCTGAGAGAAAAAAAAAAAAGCCAATCGCAGATACTTAACATGTTATTGCATAACATTCTGGAAATGACAAAATTTGGAAATGGAGGACAGATGAAAAGTTACCAGGGTGCAGGGATGGAGCGGGGTGTGTGGTTATAAAAGGCCCCAGGAGGTAGCCTTCTGCAGGAACTGTTGGGGTTTTGGCCAAGGTCAAGATGTGCACACCCAGATGAGTTACAAGTCAACTGGGCCATCTGAAAAAGACCTGGGGGGTTATCAGTGTCAGTATCCCGGTTGAGATACTGTTCTGTAGTTTTGCAAACTTGCCATTGGAGGAAACTATGGAAAACAAAGATACTGGGATTGCTTTGCTATTTTTACTATTATGCAGTGCTTTCATTATCTCATAAAGATTTCCATTAAGTAAAAAATATAAATGAAAGCTTACGTGCTGCTTTATGGAATAATCAGACCTCAAGCATGTATCAGTCCAGCTGTGCAAAGCCGGCACACCTAGCACCTCTCCCCACAAGGTCTTGTACAGCGATGTTGAATTGGAAGTTACAACTGAGTCACACTAAATTGGCCATAAAGCTACTGAAGATTTAGGTTTTTTGCCAGTGAGACAGTCTTCAGGGGATGAGAATATGTGCTAAAAAACTAGGAAAAGTTCACCTTTGCAATTTCCAGTCTGGGTAATAAAAATCAGTGAGTGACGGTCACCCCTGAGTGTCAGCAATAAGCAGTTATGCTATAACAAAATAGTGGTTTCCATTCAACTCCACATGCTGTTATCAAAGTAAAGCTGTGCCCTTTCTGTTGGCATCTTTTTTTTTTTTTTTTGAGACAGAGTCTCGCTCTGTCATCCAGGCTGGAGTGCAGTGGCATGATCTCAGCTCACTGCAACCTCTGCCTCCTGGGTTCAAGCATTTCCCTGCCTCAGCCTCCTGAGTAGCTGGGATTACAGGCTCCCATCACCACACCCAGCTAATTTTTGTATTTTTAGTAGAGACAGGGTTTCACCATATTGTCCAGGCTGATCTTGAATTCTGGACCTCGTGATCCACCCGCCTCGGCCTCCCAAAGTGCTGGGATTACAGGCATGAGCCACTGCGCCCAGCCTTCTGTTGGCATCTTTCCAGCGGCCAGCTACCTCGTGTGTGTGTGTGTGACGTGTGAGTGCACGTGTGCATTGTATTGAGACATTTTTTAAATCAATAATTGTATTCAGTTCCTGTTGAGCAAATGTAGTTTATGTCATCAAATAGTTAACTTTTTTAGTGCCACATACTTTTAGGAATGTTTAATATAACATTTTTTAATTAAAAAAACAAACTAGGCTGGGTGCAGTGGCTCACGCCTGCAATCCTACCACTTTGGGAGGCCAAGGCGGGCGGATCATGAGATCAAGAGATCGAGACCATCCTGGCCAACATGATGAAACCCCCGACTCTACTAAAAGTACAAAACTTTGCCGGGTGTAGTGGTGTGCACCTGTAGTCCCAGCTACCTGGGAGAATCGCTTAAAGCGGCAGGAGGAGGTTGCAGTGAGCCAAGATCACGCCACTGCACTCCAGCCTGGTGACAAAGCAAGACTCTGTCTCAAATTTTAAAAAAATACAAACTTAAAAAATGAGCTTTTCATTATTTGAAGTGATGGAGAAAGAAAACTGTAGCTAAGAAGTCCCAAGAGGTATATTTAACTAATAAGAATTACCTTGTCTTGGAGGAACTTACACATAAACATTCTTTTAAAAGCAATGGACATTTTCCCAGCCATTTGTAAGTTCTCTCAGAAACAGAATCGTAAGAACAAGGCATAAATAATGTGTTTTAATTGTATATTCACATCAAGCACAGGGCTCGTGCCTGTAAACCCAGCACTTCGGGAAATCACAGTGGGAGGGTTGCTTGAGGCCAGGAGTTCGAGACCAGCCTGGGCAGCATGACCGCGTCTCTACAAAACTTTAAAAAGATTGGCCAGATGTGCTGACCTGAGCCTGTAGCACCAACTACTCAGGAGGCTGAGGTGGGAGGATTGCTTGAGCTTGGGAGCTCGAGGCTGCGGTGAACCGTGATTGTACCACCGCACTCCAGCCTCGGCTACAGAGTGAGGCCCTGCCTCAAAAAAAAATTCAAGAAGTATATTCACTTAATTTTTGAGATGTGAATTCAATTTGTGAAACTTTTAAAGTTATTGCTTACTACTAAGAGTAATTTATATCAAACTATCCTGATTATATGATATCAGGAGAAAATATTGTTTGGTATTATAAACGTATTGCTGAGTTGGTATTGATTTGCTTTTGTAGACTTTTGGGACAGCGATCGTCATCAATCCTGAGAAAGATAAAGACATGGTCCAAGACCTGTTGGACTTCAAGGACAAGGTGGACCACGTGATCGAGGTCTGCTTCCAGAAGAACGAGCGGTTCGTCAACCTGATGAAGGAGTCCTTTGAGACGTTCATTAACAAGAGACCCAACAAGCCTGCAGAACTAATCGGTAGAAAAATATTTTCTTTTTTTTTCTTTTTTTTTTTTGAGACGGTCTCACCCATTTCTAGACAATTTTTTAGTGTGGGAAAATAAGGCACAATCAACCAAAATGTTCAAGCTGCTCAAGGGGTGTGTGGAAAACGTTTTTATCAAGTCTTATTAGGACACACGTTTAAAAACTGACACACCTGCATGCATGGGTGGAGGAGGGCATTTCCTTAAGGGAAGATGAAGTAGGAATTTAGAAAAGAAGTGACGCTTGACTTCACCAAAGAAGGGAGATCACCATCTTTGTATCCTCTAATCAGTATTAAAATAGGATAAAACCAGATGAGATCTCAAAAGATAGCATATTTTAAAATACTATTTTTAAGTTGTACAGTTTTTTCACAATAATATCAAAATGTATTTCAGAATTCATGGGCTTTCTCATAGGCTTTAGTCAGTAAAATTTTTTAATTTGAAGGAGAAAGGGGGCAAAGAGAACTGTAATAGATGATACTAGATTGTTGATTACTGCTGAAGTGGAAGATGGAACATGGAGCTTATTGTGCAGTTGTCTACGTTTCTGTGTGTTCAAAATATTCTGTTATAAAATTTTGAAAAGAAAAAAACTAACAGAAACGCAACAGAAGGAATTCAGGAGGCAGTTTGCTTTGACTTTTGTACCTCTGTATCATTGTGGTTTCTCTAAAGAAAAGGAATGTTGAGCTCTTGGGAATTTGGGCTTCTGAAAGTCGTGAGTTCCGCCATCACATGGGCACTTTGATCCTCCCTCCCGAACCACCTTACGATGGCTTGTGCAGCCTCAGAAACAGGAAGCCCGAGTAGAAATGCTTTACCCTGCGTTGCCGCCTTGGATGCCCTGAGAAAGTCTTTCTCTTTGAGAAAGTCTCCTCTGAGTTCATGACACCAGATCCTAGAAATGGGCACTCCAGCGTCCAGGGCAGTCACGTCCTGAAACCTGAGCATGTGTTTACTGAACCCATTTTATTTTGAAATTCAGAGATTGCATTTAGAGATAAGAAAGATATTTAACCCTGCTTTAAACATTCAGTCCTGGCTTCGTTAAAATTTTGGGAAGTATTTACTTTCACGTGACTTGAGAAATACTTATCTTAGAAAATCAGATATTTGCTTTTTTGTCTTATAGCCATTTTGGGAAGGTTCCAGAATGTTCCTGTACATTGTTGCTTATAGAAATTGAAGATGCTCTTTTTTCTGATTTAGAGTATTTATTATATTTATGCTCACAGCAAAGCATGTGGATTCAAAGTTAAGAGCAGGCAACAAAGAAGCCACAGACGAGGAGCTGGAGCGGACGTTGGACAAGATCATGATCCTGTTCAGGTTCATCCACGGTGAGACTCAGAAAATGCTGCGTATTCAAGAGGTGTAAACACAGGCCCTGCTTTCTCAAAGGAGGTTTAACATGAGAATGTCAGTATCAGTAGATCCAGTTTGCATTAGAATGAACTCTTTTAAGGGTTTTCAGCAGTTGAAGTTTAACATTTGCTTATCAACTCTCTGATGTCTTGATTATTCTCATCTGGTTATAAATAGGTAAAGATGTCTTTGAAGCATTTTATAAAAAAGATTTGGCAAAAAGACTCCTTGTTGGGAAAAGTGCCTCAGTCGATGCTGAAAAGTCTATGTTGTCAAAGCTCAAGCATGGTAAGCGTGTGGGGCCTGGGCTTCTCCCCTCTAACTGACGGTTGCTGTCCCGTGTGTTGCCCTGATCTCACTCCCTCCTTCGCTGTGTCCAGAGTGTGGTGCAGCCTTCACCAGCAAGCTGGAAGGCATGTTCAAGGACATGGAGCTTTCGAAGGACATCATGGTTCATTTTAAGCAGGTGAGTCGTGTTTCTTCAGGTAAAGCAGCTTTTTAAAAAGTGTCTGTCTGTGTGGTGGCTCACGCCTGTAACCCCAGCACTTTGGGAGGCAGAGGCAAGAGGCTTTCTTGAGGCCAGAAGTTAAAAACTACCCTGATCAACATAGCAAGACCCTGTCTCTACAAAAGAAAAATGTTTCGAATGAGCAGGTAGTCCTAGCTACTGGGGTGAGGCTGAAGGTGAGAAGATGACTTGAGCCCAGGAATTTGAGGCCGCAGTGAGCCGTGACTACACCACTGCATTCCAGCCTGGGCAGCAGAGTGAGACCTTGTCATGGATGGGTGGATAGATAAGTACGTACATAGACAGATAGAGATAGCAGTACCTTGTCATAAGTAGATAAATAGCTAAAGTAGGTAGATTCAATAGATTAGATAGAAAAAATGAATCTCACTCTAAACTGTGTAAGAAAAAAATTACACTATTAATGTTTCACAAGTAAATTTTAAAAGGAGAAGAAAAAGAAGCTCTAAACATGTGTGGCAAGAATTTGATTTCAGTGAGTCTGGTGGTGACACCTGAAGAAGGGAAAAAGGCAGTCCCAGTGAGGCATTGGGTTTCACGGAATACATTCTGGGGACTGAGATAAATTCTGACGCAGCTGAAACTTTATATTGAAAATTACACAGTTTATTTTGTTTTAGGTTAATTATGTTTTATTACTTTCTCAAAATGATTGTCTTGGATTTCTCTGTTTTTAGCATATGCAGAATCAGAGTGACTCAGGCCCTATAGACCTCACAGTGAACATACTCACAATGGGCTACTGGCCAACGTACACGCCCATGGAAGTGCACTTAACCCCAGAAGTAAGTGTGCGGAAGGCGTACTGCCTGCTCCGGCTGTCATGCCCTTACCAAGCACAGATATGTCGCCTTCAAGAATTGTTTAATGGGGAGTTTTTAAAAATAGCTCACTCAGTCCGAAATCAAAAGTGCTCGTATATCTGCATTAGAAAGTGACAACTTTTGTCGCCCTCTGTGTCTCCTCCCAGTCAGCCTGTGTCCACCTGCTGACCTGCAGGGGCCCATGAGCACAGCAGCCTGTGTCCACCTGCTGACCTGCGGGGCCCATGAGCACAGGCACTCGTTTTGGAAGTTATGGCTTGTCGAGCTGCAGTTCTTGTCTGGTTGTACTTTCTTTCCATTGTAGACACTGCTGAAGTCTTAGGAACGGCATTATTTAGGACTTTCCTTATCAGCCACTACTTAGGGTACAGTAAGCCCTTTAGTGGAGGGTTTGCACACCGGAGGTAGAATTCTGTGCTCAGCGAAGTGAAAATCAGCAGGAGATACAATACATGCACCATTCATTGTAATACCAGGGAAAGGGAAAGGGCTGAGACCAGCCTGGAATCATGGAAGACTTCCTGGAAAAGGCGTCCCTTAAGCCTGATCTCAAGTCAAGATGAATAATGATTTCCTCAGCTGAGAAGGGAAGAAAGACTCACAGCTACAGTGGTTGGACAGTGTGATTCCTTTTCTTACCAGTCGTAAGAGTCATGGCCAATGCTCCTTTAACAAAAGACAAATTAGGAGAAAACCATAACAAATTTGTTTAAGTTTTATTTAACACAGCAGGCTTCAGAAATGACGACCAAAGACCCAGGGTAGACTGTCCGTTGTTATACTTAGGGTTGATAAAGAATGGGCAGCCATGTAGAAATAGGTGTATTAGTCTGTTTTGCATTGCTCTAAAGGAGTACCTGAGGCTGGGTAATTTGTAAAGAAAAGAGGTTTCATTGGCTCACAGTTCTACAGGCTGTACAAGCATGGCCCCCGTGTCTGCGCAACTTCTAATGAGGTCCCAGGAAGCTTTCACTCAAGGTTGAAGGCAAAGGGGGAGTAGGCTGGAGAGAGGGCGTAACAGGCAGTGAGGGAATGTCCCAGACTCCTTAACAATCAGATCTCATGGGAACTCATTACTGCAGGGAGGGCGCCAGGCCATTCATGAGGGATCCACCCCCACGACCCAAACATCTCCCACCAGGCCCCACCTCCAACACTGTGGATCACAGTTCACCGTGAGACTTAGAGGGAACAGATACCCAGACTCTTACCAATGTGGACAGAAGGGTACCATCTAACAGTAGTAGAGTAGTGGGGAAACCAGTAAGGCCTGTCTGTCCAGATTCTTCTTGTCCTCACTGGGCAGTGCTCTCAGGTGTAGGCAAGACACGTCTGGAACGATGTCTTATGACTTAACTATCAGCAAGGTAGGTCAGAGAACTTCTTAATGTCCAGATCCTACACAGAAGGGCAGGAGAAGGATAGAGTAGTATCTCCAGGCTTTATGGCTGGCTTTGGGCAAGAGCGGTTTGAGTTTTCTCTGTCCTGCCTTGGGGAAGAGCGGTTTGAGTTTTCTCTGTCCTGCCTTGGGGAAGAGGAGTTCTCATTCCAGGAGAACTTTGGTGGAGAAGGTGGTGGGGTGGGAGAAGGTGGGTGAGAGACCTCACTTCTGAGGCGTCCTAGCCAGACTTAGAGAACATGCGCAGGACTCCTGCTCAAAGAAAGCCAGGCAGCCTGCTTTCCACATTGGCCACGTGGTGCTGTCCCTTCCTCTCTCCACAGATGTTTGTGTTCCTGTACCGTTCCCTTTTCCCTTAATATTTGGCCAGGCGCGGTGGCTCACGCCTGTAATCCCAGCACTTTGGGAGGCCGAGACGGGCAGATCACGAGCTCAGAAGATTGAGACCATTCTAGCTAACATGGTGAAACCCCATCTACTAAAAATACAAAAATTAGCCTGGCGCGGTGGCGGGTGCCTGTAGTCTCAGCTACACGGGAGGCTGAGGCAGGAGAATGGCATGAACCCGGGAGGTGGAGCTTGCAGTGAGTGGAGATCGCGCCACTGCACTCCAGTCTGGGCGACAGAGAGAGATTCTGTCTCAAAAAAAAAAAAAAATTCTACTGGCTATTTCCCAAGAATATAAGCACCTGTCAAGTGAGGACATTCACCCCGATGTAATACTTTCACCCCATTTCTGTTAGTTGTCTCAGGTATGTCCTTTGTGGTGTTTTTCTGGTACCCAGCTGAGCCCAGGACCCAGGCAGTCTTCGATGCTTCTTGTGAGTAGGTTCAGGTTGGGCAGGTCCAGCCAGATGCCCTGTGTCCCCATCAGGATCCTGGCAGGAGGTGCGCACTACCATGTGCCCCACTATCTTGGTGACATGTGATAGAATCCTTCTGATAAGGTGCTGGCTGGTTTCTCCAAGGTATCGGTAGTGTTTTTCCTTTTGTAATCACTAAGGAATCTGTGAGGAGACATTTCAAGACTATGTAAACATCTTAATCCTCATCCAGCTGTCACCTGTGTGGCGATTCCTGCCTGAATTGATTTTTACTTTGGTGAATGGGGACTTTTTTCCAGCTCTATCATTTCTCTGTATTTAGAAGTTGGCATTCTAAGGAAGAGCCCTTCTTTCCACCCCCTTTATTTACTTATTTATTTCTCTCTCTTTATATCATTATGAACTCATGGATTCTTAATTTTTGTACTTATTTTGATGCTTAAATTGTCCCATATGTGGTCCGTGGGCCACCCTTATGCTGGTTTCTTTGCTCTTTGACATGCCTACATCATTTGCTCTCCTCCAGACCCCGGCAACCACGCTCTGTTTCCTGTCTGTATGGATTTGCCTGCATTCGATATTTCACAGAAATGGAACCACACAATATGTGAACTTTTGTGTCTGGCTTCTTCCACTTAGCATGCTGTTTTCAAAGTCCATCCGTGCTGTACCATACGTCAGCGCATTACTCCTTTTCTGGCTGAATAACATCACAGTGTATCGATAGGTCACATGTCGTTTCTCCGTTCACCAAATATTGGGTATTTGGGTTATTTCCACCTTTTGGCCGCTGTGAATCGTGCTGCTGTGAACATGGGTGTACAAGTTTTAGTTTGAACACCTACGGTCACTTCTTTTGGGGTATGTACCTGGGAGTAGAACTGCTGGGCCATGCAGGAACTTGAAGTTTAAGTTACTGAGGAATTGCCGGACTGTTTCCCACAGCGGTTGCAGCAGCTTTTATTCCAGTTAGCAATCACGAGAGCTTCGCACCTTCTCACCTACACTTGTGATCTGCCTCTTTCGTTGTCGCCATCCCTGTCCGTATGAGCTAGTCTCTTGCTGTGGTTTGCATTTCCCTGATGACTGTTGATGTTGAGCATCATTTCATGTCCTGATTGACCATCTGTGTATTCTTCTTTGGAGAAATGTCTGTTCACGTGCTTTGCCTACTTTTTAACTGGGCTGTTTATCTCTTGTTATTAAGCTATAAGAGCTCTTTATATTCCAGATGCTAGATGCTTATCAGATCTGTGATTTGTAACTATTTTCTCCCATTCTGTGGGTTATCTTTTTACTTTCTTGATAGTATGCTTTCTATAAAATTTTTTAATTATGGTAAAATCACATTTCTCTTTTGTTACTTTTGGTGTCATAGCTGAGAAATTGTTGCCAAATCAAGACCACAAAAAATTGAGGAGGGGGGTACAGTGCCTCACACCTGTAATCCCAGCACTTTGGGAAGCCAAGGATTACTTGAGCCCAGGAGTTAGGAGCAGCCTAGACAACATGGTAAAACCCCATCTCTACAAAAAATAGACAAATTAGCCGCGTGTGGTGGTGCCCGCCTACAGACCTGGCCACTCAAGAGGTTTGAGGTGACAGGATTGCTTGAGCCTGGGAAGTTAAGGCTGCAGTGAGCTGTGATCAAGCCACGGCACTCCATCCTGGGCAGCAGAGTGAGACCCGAGACCCTGTCTCAAAAAAAGAAAATAAAATACCACTATGTATTCTCCCAAAAGTTTTATAGTTTTAGCTCGTATGTTTCAGTCTTTGACCCATTTTGGGCCTGGAATGGTAGCTGGCACATAGTAGCCAAACGATAGCATTATGATTGTAATTATCATCATTAATACTGATCCAGTCCTAGGAATGAATCCCAAGGAGATGATTTTTAGGAAAGATATGCATTAAGAGGTTTATCACAAACCATGGTACTTCTCAAGGCAAAAAGAAAAAGAAAAGGCTTATCACATTATCGAGTTTTATTTAGGTATGGTAATGCCTTAGTAGATGTATTTCCTGAAAGAGTGAAAGAGTTCCGTCCTTTAGAAATACACAGAAATACCTACAAATGAAATGATATCACGCCTGGGATTTGGTGTTGTTGAAGATGGGGAATAGGTGCATCAGGTGATGTGTACGTGTGGTTTCGTAGAAAGGTGACTCTTGGGCTGAGTTTTGAAGCATGAAGAGGAGATTGCCAAGCAAGCGTAGGTGAGGTTGGCAGGAATTTCTGACAGGGCACAGCTTAGACAGAAACACAGAGAAACTAAAAGGGCACGTGAAGTCTAGAGAGCAGCAGGCATTTATGCAGCACCTGCTGGTGCCACGCTCAGTGCGCAATGGAGAGCCAGAGATCCGGAGGCCCTGCCCCGTGAGCCCCTGTCCGGAGTCCACATTCACTCTGTGCTACAGAGGCCGGTAGAGCTAAGAGGGTGTCAGAGAAGGCTTCTCTGAGGAGGCGGTTCTGGAAATGAGTGGGTTTCATGAGGAAGATGGGATATGGAATCCAGCAGAAGAAACCACATGTGTGAAAGTCGGGGGGGATGAGAAGGTTTGAAAGACGGTGGAATGATGGGCTGAACTGGGCCTGGGGGATGGGAGGGGCAGAGGCCAGGGCTGTGAGACCAGAGGTTAGAATTTCATGCTTTCTTTGTCCCACGGTCTTTGGAAGCCATCCAAAGACACGGAATGGGAGCGTGTGGGAGAGGAGCGATGGGTTTGGATTTGTGTTCCTGCCCAAATCTCATATGGAATTGTAATCCCCACTGTTGGGCGAGGCCCTGGTGGAAGCAACCAGATCATGGGGCAGATTTCCCCCTTGCTGTGCTCATGGTAGTGAGTGAGTTCTCATGAGATCTGGTTGTTTAAAAGTGTGTAGCACCTCCCCCTTCTCTCTCTCTTCCTGCTCCGGTCATGTGAAGATGTGCCTGCTTTTTTCCCTTGCCTTCTGCCATTATTAAAAGTTTCCTGAGGCCTCCCCAGCCAAGCTACTTGTACAGCCTGCAAAACTGTGAGCCAGTTAAACCGTCCTTCTTTATAAATTACCCAGTGTCAGGTATTTCTTAATAGCGGTGAAAGAATGGACTCATACAAGGCGTGTAGGTGGATACCGAGTCCTGGAGCACTGGCATTTGCGGAGTGGATGAGAGTAGGGGGAGGCCACGCCCTGGGCTGTCCAGAGATGGTCTTCTGAGGCGGAAACTGATGAACCCTCCCGGGCGCAACACAGACTCGTTGGAGAGCCCAGGTGCAGTGGACATCAGACAGGATCAAACTGAAGAGTGGAGGGTATGACGGACCAGGAAGGGCATGCAGAAGTCAGGGAAAGCACTGCGCACAGGAGAGTCACGCACAGCCTGCCCCTGAGAGGCATCCAGGAAACAGGAGCAGGATCCGGGCTGTGGGTAGGGCTGGTGCACTGAATGCTGGGAACTTGAAAATGCAACAACCACAATTGTTAAGGATCAGTAGAAAGTTTGGAAAATGTAAGAAATTCACTCAAGGCCAGGCAAAGTGTAATTCCAGCGCTTTGGGAGGCCGAGGCAGGGGGAACGCTTGGAACCAGGAGTTCAGGACCAGCCTGGGCAGCATAACTGTCTCTATTAAAAAAAAAAAAATGAATCAACAGGCATGGTGTCATGTACCCGTAGCCTGTAGTCCCAGCTACTCAGGACACTGAGGCAAGTGGATCACTTGCACCTGGGAAGTCCAGCCTGCAGTGAGCTCGGATCGCACCACAACCTGGCTGATAGAGCAAGCCTATGTTCCAAAAAAGGAAAGAAATTCACCCAGAAGCTAATCATAAAAATAACTGACTTATGCTGTCCTTTCTGTGCAGGCCCTGGTGGAGGTGTTTGCCATCAGCCCCTGCACAGTGCAGCACAAGGGGTGGTGGTGTCACCCTTCACAGATGAGGAAGCAGGAGCCCTGCTCATTGCAGGGAACACCAGCTGAGGCCAGGGCAGGGCATGGCCAGGCTGAGACACAGGATCTGGCCTCAGACACCTTTTTCTTGTCAGCTCCAGTCTTCACTCTGTGCCACTGGCCCCAGCAAGCCTGAGTGTGGGCAGAGACCACGGAATACAGCTGGCCTGTACCATGAAACACCAGTGCAAGCATTATCTCATTGACACTGGGAAGCCCCAAAGTGCAAGGAGTGAGGATATTTTTACAGATGATGGAATCCAGAAAGTATCAGAATATAGAGCTGACCTTTTAATTCAGCTGTGAAAAGTTGTAAAACTCTGCATTGAATGTGGGGCTATTGAGATGGATGGCGTGTGGCATGATTTTGTTGTTCTCCTATGCCTGACAGATGGTTAAACTTCAGGAAGTATTTAAGGCATTTTATCTTGGAAAGCACAGTGGTCGAAAACTTCAGTGGCAAACTACTTTGGGACATGCTGTTTTAAAAGCGGAGTTTAAAGAAGTAAGTTCTTTGTTTCGTTTATTTTTTATTGTTAATATGTTAATAGAATTTTTTTATTGTTACTAGACTTCGGTAGCCAAAAAGGAAAGAGTGTTTCACTTTAATTCACTAGCTTTTATATGTCAATAAAATTAATAACAGTTAAAGGGTTAATATTCCAATCAATAAAAATTCTTAAGAAACCAATCCATAGAAAACCATTTACCTATTAAAAAAAAAAAGAGAAAGTGAAGAGGCAACTCATAAAAGCAAAATTGAAAAAAATTAATATCCATGAAGATGCATTACACTTCTCTGTGAAACAAAGGGCTTCAAAGTAAAATACAGTAAGATACCACTTTTTGACTAAGAGATTTGATGAAGCCTAAAAAACAGAGATAACCAGATTCTTGCCCACTGCTGGAAGAAGCACAAACTGTAGTGAGCTTTTGGAAGGGCAGTTTGGCGTTATGAACTTTGGCAACACTGCCAAATTGTTGCCTTAGTTTCAACTCTAGGAACTCATCTTAATAAGATATTTTCACGGATTAATGAATAAGAATAGTTGTTGCAGTGCTGTTTTGTTTTGTTTTGTTTTGTTTTTTTGAGACGGAGTCTTGCTCTGCCGCCCAGGCTGGAGTGCAGTGGCACGATCTCGGCTCACTGCAAGCTCTGCCTCCCGGGTTTATGCCATTCTCCTGCCTCAGCCTCCTGAGTAGCTGGGACTACAGGTGCCCACCATCACGCCCAGCTAGTTTTTTGAATTTTTAGTAGAGATGGGGTTTCACTGTGTGAGCCAGGATGGGATGGTCTCGATCTCCTGACCTCATGATCTGCCCGCCTCGGCCTCCCAAAGTGCTGGGATTACAGGCGTGAGCCGCCGGGCCTGGCTGCAGTGCTGTTTTTATGAGTGGTTATTTAAGAGGGGAGATTGCATACAGTGGACTGATCAATGAAAAGAGCTTATCATGAAACAGGGCAATTATATACACTAAGCAAAAATGTTAAAAAATTCCTATTTTTCATAGCTGTTATTAATAATAAACTTATCTGTACATTATGAAATAAATTATACATACCAACTTTATATATATTATTGTAGAGAGTCATATACAGAAAACCATATATACTCTTCCTTAAGGTATTAGGAAGGTTAATTTCTGTTATCCCCAGTTTTTGCCTTACTTGCTGACTTTAGATGAACTTAAGCTCCGCAGGGTCTGTACCAGCACCGCCAACTGCGGCTCTCTCCAGGTGTGCAGGAAGGGCTTATTGCGGGCTCGCGATGAGTCAGGGCTGAGTCCTCAGAGGGAGCCCCCGACTGCCACCCGACCTCTCACGTGCCTCTCGCGGGTCTGACCCAGAGGCATGTGGCAAGTTGCTGCAGCAGGAACTGCTGAATAGAAAAGGAGATCATTGGCCGGGCGCGGTGGCTCACGCCTGTAATCCCAGCACTTTGGGAGGCCGAGGCGGGCGGATCACGAGGTCAGGAGATGAGATGGGACCATCCTGGCTAACACTTGTGAAACCCCATCTCTCCTAAAATACAAAAATTAGCCGGCGTGGTGGTGGGCACTGTATCCCAGCACACAGGAGGCTGAGGCAGGAGAAATGGCGTGAATCTGGGAGCGGGGCTTGCAGGTGAGTCGAGATTGCACCACTGCATCCAGCCTGGGCGACAGAGCGGAGACTCCGTTCCTAAAAAAAAAAAAAAATCTGATTTTTCAAGATTGTACACGCACAAGCTTCACAGGTGTGATGAGCCTAAAAAAAAATCTGATTTTTCTAAGATTTACACGCACAGCTTCACAGGTGTGATGAGGCCTAAAAAATCTGATTTTCTAAGATTCTACACGCACAGCTTCACAGGTGTGATGAGGCCTAAAAAAAAAATCTGATTTTTCCAAGATTGTACACGCACAGCTTCACAGGTTGTGATGAGGGCCTAAAAAAAAAATCTGATTTTTTCCAGATTGTACACGCACAGCTTCACAGGTGTGATGAGGCCTAAAAAAAAATCTGATTTTTCTAAGATTGTACACGCACAGCTTCACAGGTGTGATGGAGGCCTAAAAAAAAATCTGATTTTTCTAGATTCTACC